TTTAGTTTTCTTTCTTCCCGACAATATTGTCGGGTTTAATTGATGTGAGACAAACAAGTGAGAGTTAGTTGACTTAGTTCGAATTCGATATAGTCTGAGAGCTGTTTGTTACTTTGCATTATCAGAAGATTCAACTGTTTCGATTTTTTCATTATATTTCGCCTACGCCGGCTATCTGGTAAACTCGACAATGGCACAACGTTCAAATTTATCGCGCTACGAACGACTTCTCGCTTCAGCGAATCGCTATCTCGAAAAAAACAATTTGGAAGACGCCGAACGAACCTTTTCCAGCGCTGTAAGAGAGGTTTATCTTTTTAGGAACAAAATTTACGAAATAACAATCGCCCTTAAAGGATTGGGTCTCGTCTACAAAGCTCGCGGAAGGATTCACAAAAGTGGTGAAGATTTGGTCAAAGCTTCGGGGATTTTAACTGCTTCGTTAAATCGACTGCGAGAATGCACTTCAGAAAATGAAAGTAAAAGAACTGTCAAAGTTGATTTAAAACCAGAAATTCGTTCTTTAGAAGAGGAGATCAGGAATGTCCACACAATGTTTATTGATGAAATACTTCAATCACAGCAGAATGATAGCAAGAGCGATTTTCGAAAACGTGAACATTATAAAGAAACTCTTCAAACGATCCGCGATTCCTGCCAATCGAAAATCAGCGCCTTTGATAAAATGCATAAGCTTGACCCAGATGCAAGAGATATCCGTGTTGAAAGCGAAAGAATTGAACGAACACAACAACTGTATAAATTCATATCGAAATCAATGAAGGATTTAATAACAAGCATGGCTGATGATTGTATAAAGGTTATGTCAAGTCCTCCGTGTAAATTTTCTATCCTTGGTCTGGGGTCCACAGCAAGAGAGGAAGCCACGCCATACTCAGATTTCGAATTCTGTATTCTTGTCGAAGAGAACACGGACAGTGTCATGCAGTATTTTACCGACTTCACAAACCTACTTCATTTAAAAGTGGTGGAACTTGGTGAAACTATCCTTCCTAGCCTTGGAATAAAGTCGTTGAATGATTACTATTCCGGAAGCAGAGGGGCCGATTGGTTTTATGATGATGGTCCAAGAGGTTTTTCGTTTGACGGAGCCATGCCGTGGGCAAGTAAAACGCCAAAAGGACGAGATAAAACTTTGAAGAAGCCTTGGGTACAGTCCCTGATTAAAACTCCAAGAGATATGGTTGGCCTTCTTTCAGAGGAATCGATTTTCAAAGAGGGATACCATCTGGCTGATGTGCTTTCAACCCCATCTTTAATTTGTGGAGATGACTCGTTGTTTACAGACTATAGCAAACTTATGAGAGAGTACTTCGAAATAACTGTGAACAATTGCAACTCGGCAAAGGTTGATTTTAAATCCACGTATCATATTAAATCAATGTCTTGGAAAGAGAGAATTTTACATGAGTTGGTTGAAGTGAATACGAAATACCATCATTCCCTTGGAAACTTTGAAAGCAAACCAGGCGAAAGTTATGAAGTGAAAACAGATATCTACAGATTTCCCAGTCTTGTTATACAATATGTGGGGAAATATTTCGATGTTCAATGCCCGTCCTCCTGGGAAACGATTGGAAAGTTGGTGTCTGCCGAGTTTCTTACTGAAGAAGGAGCTCATGACCTAAAAACTGCGCTTGGTATAGCAGCTGAACTTCGGTTGAGAACGTATTTAAGCAATCAAGGTCAAAGTGAATATTTCAAAACCAATCTTCAAGACTTGTGTTTACTGCACAGATTTTTCTTTACCGTCATACCACTAGAACAAGCATTGGGAGAGTTGAAAGAAGGAACCGGTTTACCTGAGGTTATAAAATCGGAATTTTATCAAAATAACTCAACAATAAAAGCAGCCACGTACTTGACATTTGGGGACTACGATAAAGGTCGGGAGATCCTTAAAGACATGCTTGTAAACACGCATGATTCGTCACTAGACGCTGTATTAAAAATTACTGCAATAGGAAAAAATACTGTAATAGGAAACACACTGCTCATTCAAGGAAAACCAGCGGAAGCGGAAAAATACCTCAGAAAAGCACTGGAAATTATGAAGCGAAAATACGATCGTGATCCACAATCACGTAAAAATCGATTTGAGTTGGGGAGTAGTTATATGAACTATAGCGCCGTTCTGCTTAAGTTGGGGAAAATCGAGGAAGCTTTATCTTATGGAAAAAAAGCTCTGGAAAACAGATATTCGCTGTATAAAGAATCGTCAACGGAACCGGCCAGGGTTCAAATTGACTTGTTGTTAGGAATCGCTACCGGGCATTGTAATTTAGGCGAAATTATGGCATCTTCCTTGGCCCCTCCCTGGGATTTCAGTGATGAGAAACACAAGGAAGTCAAGCTATTGGAGCATGCTCAAAAAGCAATCGATATTGCTTACATGTTATATGAAAAGTACAATACACCTTTTCCTTTTCACGCGAGTGCAATAATGTTGCTATTTGAATATCAACTTAGAACAAAGTCATTGGAGATGCACCTGGAGAAGAATGAAGGACTGTTACATGACGCTTTAGAAGTGCTATATAGGACCAGAAAGTATGCTATTTTTACAAGAGAGGAGGAAAAAATCTTATATGCTCTTTCGGTTCACGCAAAACTAAAGTTTGATTGGAAGAACGCGAGGTTCGCGTTTAACAGGGTTTATGATATACGATATCACATCAATGCGGGGAAAGATGACGATTTTTTAGTTAAAGTGCTTAATGACATTGCATTTGCCAGTGAAAAAGAAGGTGATGAACATACAGCCTGTCATGAATATGAATCTGCACATGAAAAGTACAAGGAGTCTACAGAGTTTTACACCCAAGCTCTTGACATGTGTAAAAGGATTCACGGTGACGATAAGAAAAACGAGCTTTTACAGGAATGCGCGGAAGGTTTTTTAACGGCAAATGCGAAGTCTTTGGCGTATGATTTCGTGAGGTTTTATATGGATTTCTACCCTCAGCGAGTTCAAGAAAAGGCATAGTGCCCTGATTAAAAATCTTAAACTAGTGACAGCAGAAACCAGAGGGACAGTGAGGCCTGAGCAGCTCCCAGCGCCGGATTAATCTTTCCATTGCTGGTCACGGCTCACAAAAAACGGCTGTTTATTACGACGGAATTAGGGCTGTTTTTAACTCACGCATTTTTTTATACGCACGTACACGCACGGAGAACTTAGTTTTCCGTTTATTTTAGTATACATTTGTTAACCGATGTGTTCAATTATAATACTTTGAAGGATTTAAAGTTTGCCGCGTAGCTGCATCTCAACTTCTGGGGGGGAAGTAAAAAAAACTTGCCGAGGAGTTGCTTTTATAGCGGCTACTCCGGTAGCCGCATGATGTCAAACGGGGGGGAGCCTCTCCCTACCCCCCCCCCCCAAAGCCCCCACCTCAACTACGGGCCAGTTTGCCACGCGTATAAAACCGCGTAAGTGGAAAATTACATATCATTATATACTTTGCAAAATGCACTTGGAAAGCAGAAAGCAGACAGGTGGCTCATCGTTGTTTAAACTGTAGTTAATATGTTTAAACCTCAGAAAGCCCGGAGGGGAAATGACCAACTATCTCTTAATTTTCCCAAACAGTGAAAATCCGGGGCCAGAGGCAAATGCCCCTTCAGTAATCTACCACTCCTCCACCCCCTGAATGATTTAAAAATACTGAAAAAATCTTGTACCATATAACATCCATATAATTAATTGTCATATTTAATAATGAACCATTGCTGATTCATTAGCATTTTAATCGGTGATTTGATTATTGGTCAACCTGAATTTATCAATGATTATGCAACACAACAGAGAAGAATTAACTCATTTGGAGTTGAGCACCACTGTGATGATGAATCTCTGATGCAGTTTTTCTTTTCAGTTAGAACTTTATTCTGGTGTCTCAATATAAAAACAAGCTATTATAAAACAAGCTATTATAAAACAAGCAAGTGTAACCTTAGCATCTTTCCAACCTGCCAAGATTCTTTGTTCTCAAAATCCCCACACTCCATGCCAGCAGGTTGAGGGAAACCATCTGTATTACCATCATTCAGCTTCCAAATAAACACAAAACAATCTAAAAAGACAGTTTGTAACACGATTCACTCGAGTTCAGCTTGTACTAGCCATTAATCATCCTAGCAGTTGCTTGGAGCCCCCAAGGTGAAAACTTTACCATAAGGCTACCACATGGTGGCCGTGCATTTCCAATGAACAAAAATTGTTAGTAGATCATTCATAAGTCAATTTTTATGTTAAACATGAGAACAAGTAAAGAAATTTATTGGAATCTAAAAAATAATGAGATTTTACAGTACCATCTCCACCAGATGCCAACATATTTCCTACAGAACAAGAGAAACATTTTATGTCTTGATTTTATGTGATGATCAATTTGAACGTACCTGCAAACTAATTTTGTTTTTAAATTTGACAATAAATTCGTTAGAATGCGCGTGGTCCTCTCAGATAAAACATGAAACGAACCTATCTTCGAGTGCTACCAAGTCCGCGTTAATGGAGAACTAAAGTTATAACCCGTTCGTTCGTCAAATTTGAGCTTGTTAAAATTTTTGAAAAGAGTACTCCGTAGTTCGTCGTTTGACTATAGGAAAAGTCCCCTCATTCAAAATTTGTTCTTGAATGGTCGGGTCGTGTTGTTCAAAGTCGATTTGTTTAATCCAATAGTTACATATTTTCTAACTTCTATATAGCTTTAAGTTGGACATAGTATTGCAAATTTTTTTCACTGTCGTTTAATTTCCAAAGTTATAAAACTAACGGCGGTGATGCAGAACACATGCATATAACATAACTTTAAATATAACACGATGCAGAAAATAAATAGTGGGTTAGAGTATAGGCCATGCTCCATAGGGTTGGCGCTATATGTGTTTTTTAGCAGATTTTGCTGTTCCGTCGCAGCAAAAATTAAATTTACCCAACGCAAATCTTGAACAAGTATTATTATCTAGAAAATATAATGTACAACAAAATTGTTTTTTTATGTTACATTCTACAACTATCAGAATACTTTGTAACCATTTAATAATAATAAGTCTAGAGTTTCCTTGCATTAACACCGCGACCAAACACTGGCTTCGCAGTCCAGCAAATGATGGGAAAATATAATAAGTACAATGGAAATAGATGAGGTTGAAAACTTGATTGTTTTATGAGCTATCAAGAGCTATCTACTTATTATATTAAACTATATATCTTGCTTATCCCTGAATAAAAACCTTGAGTTGGAAACAAGCGAATGTCAAATAATTTGAATACTGTGTTTCCAATGTTCAATGGCTAATGGTTTATGATAGTAACTTCTGGCTCCAGTGGTACTCGTGGTCTGTCTTGTCTCGTAATGTTGTCCTGAGCAGCTTTAACACTGGTACTAGCCATGCTTGTTGAATGAATTGTAGAACTTTGGTTGGACGTTTCGCTGACGGTCTGCTGGGTCGCCTTCTCAGTGGGAGGCGAGGGAACCTCTGTTGTCGCAAAGTTGACTCTGGGCGGTGGGGGTTGGGTCATGGAAGCGTACCCCTCTCTCTCGGTAGGAGTGTCTGACCCACTGTGATTCGTCGATGTTGATATGGCGAGGATTTCTCGTTGTGGCCTAGTCGAGTTCTGTGGTGATTTGAGAGTTACAAAGTTAACTCGACGTGGTTCGTGGGCGCTTTTCATGGGCTCACCCCCCGGAGGGGAATTCGATGTATTCTGGCTCGAAGGATTGGTGGGACTTCTGTGGGGTACCTGCGAATCTTGTGGAGATTTTATGGTGACGAATCCCACCCGGCGAGGCTGGTTTCCCGAAGTTGAACTTACAGGTTTTACTTCTTCGCCTGCAGAACTATTTGTAATCAAATGTTTACAATCGTTTTCCAAAGACGCTGTTCCTTTCGCTTGCAGCGTCGTAAAGTTCACCCTCCGTGACTGAGTTGCCATGGAAACCATTGTCATAGCAGCGGCAGAATTATCACCCACGGTCGAAGATGGCACCGGCATCGAAGGCTTCACGGTGGCGAAGCCGACTCTGCGTGGAGCAGGTTCCGCAGTTCTCCCCCTGTCATTTTGAGCGTTGTCTGTTTTAACTGAGCTCTGTACGCTTGCTGATTGGCTGGAGTTAGATTTCGGTGCGTTGACTGTTACAAAGTTTTTGATTGAGAGCTTTTCTATCTTCGGAGGAGTGCGTTCATCTTTACCAGAGTCTAAATTTAAAAAGAAATGCGTACTTTGAATACGAAATAATTACTGTTGACTAAGAATCGATTGTATTTTTGGTAGTTTTACAACAAAATAATGCAGAGTATATCACACCTGGTGTTTTGCACCTCGGCGTCGTGATAATTCGTCTATTTGGACTGCTTTCTTTGGCGGGAACTGTGGAATTCTCGATTATTTCCCTCGCTGTTTGACTGTAGGGGACACCCAACTCGTCATCATCAAATGTCACCAAAGAACAATAACCATCCCGGGAGGAAATTGCAAGGATTCTACCATCTCCGGACCTAAATATATTCCAGGAAATTATACAAGATTGATTTTGTAGCAAGCAATGATAGGTAAACATAGATATCGCGTAATTTCAACACCAAAAAGCTCTTGACTTCTTGTTATTCGTGAATCAAAGGTGACCAAACCATTCTCCGATTTTAATCTTGAATTTTAAAGTTTATTTTAAATTTCTAAACAACTCACCAAGCGATGTCCGTCAATGAAGCGTAATGCATATTTGAAAGAAAACCAAACGGCAACGTTCGTTGAGTGTCGTACAATACAACGCTGTCCAAAGATGCAACAGCTATTACAGTGCGATATGGCAGCCTGTGAAAATATCAACAATGAATTTACTCTAAAGAATACTGCAATCTGTTTCTCACGTTGACCCAAACATGCACTGTAGCCAGGTGATGTAATATTTTTAAAGCAATAAAGGTCCTAAAACTCGTACTAAAACCTTGTATGAAAACAATATTTAATTGTAAACAGGCCTCGTAATTTATTACATCCGTTACAAGAAGGTTTTCTTTTATTCTTACTTAAAAACAGACTTGTTACTTTCGCCAGAATTTTTGCCTAAACAAATGAAGAATAGAATGATTAACTGTAATTAATTTGATTCATCAGGCAACATTTAATTTTCGTCGGTCAAACCTGTGTTTCGAAGCTCAAAGAGTACAGGGCAACATTTCACTGCAATGGTCGGTTTCTTCTTGGCGGGAAAATACATGACTGGTCTACGCAGAAAAACAAATAATCCTTTTTTGACTTTGAAACATCATTTTACGTTCGTACTTGAGTAAGATTTTAACAAGTATATTTTAAGCAGCAAATTGTTTAGAATGCTACTTACTTGTTCATGGATGCTTTGGTGAAAACGAAAGTTGTGTTCACCATCTTCTCTTGTACCTCAAATTTTCCACCTTGAAAAAGCAATTTCATTATCGATATTTTATCCCAAATTTATGCCAAAGCCACAGGTATATTGGCCTATGAAAGTGCTTCTGTGGAAGGTAAATAAATATTTGTCTCACCTGGGACAAATAGAAGCAAACCATCTGGTGAAAACGTTAAACGGCGAAAGAAGGACGGCATTGTCTCGTCGTGAAATATTTTGATTTGTTTTGAACTCTATATTTGACGATAAATTGATATTTTAGTTAAAATAATTATAAAGGCGGCAAAGTGTAACATTTTAAGTGCAAAATTTCATGAACTAATCCAGTTCAATCTAAGTTGTTTAACCGGTATTTGATGGTCAACCGATGACCAAATGCGAGCCCACGATACTATCGAAGTAAGTTAACCAACCGATTTGACTGCAGAGTTATTTTGTCTGATTTTGATCAAAAACTCCCTTCAATAGCAATCCACCAATTGAGGTATTAAATTTAGGAAAGCTCAATTTTTTACGGTTGCAAATTAAACTGCACCATCCAGGCATCAACTGACCTGTGTTCCGGTTTCACTTTTGGCACAACTCGGCAGAGTCACTTTATTAATATTAAAACAACATCTGTAGTTGGACGTGTTGTAAATGCGACACGTGCGGTCACAAGAATATGACGCAACATAGGTACCACAGGGATCCCATGACACCCCTTGGACATACTGACGATGATCCTTTAGTATCCTCAACTTATCTCCTGTTGATCATATGATCATAAAAGTATATCATTAAGTATAGTGAAATATAACGAATGTGTACAAATGAGTACTGATGAGGATATACCTTTGTTAGTATCCCAAATTATCACACTGTTATCAACAGAGCCTGAAATCAATTGAGTTCCATTGGGAGACCAAGCTAAGTCATAGACGTCTTCAATATGACCTCTAGAGAAATATGAAATGTGTCCATGCGTTGGATATTTAAGCCGAAAAACTGACCCCTTCAATTTTACGTCAGGAATCGATTTTTGAGGTCAAATTTACCCTAGGGAGAGGGCGTCATGGAGTTTTGGCACCTTTTCCAACCGCATGAGTCGGCATGACAACATTCCGAGCATGCGGTAAGCACGCGCTTAGCAACAATTATCACTTATATCGCTTATAAAACGCTATTTATCCGGTTCGTTTGCACATCCTACCCCAAAATTACTCAGACTTATAACAGAATGATAATATGTAAAATTCAGTCATTTTAAAGACATCAGAGAACAAAAAAAGCGAGAAAATACTTTCTAATGCATATGGTTGCTATGGATAAATAATTTGCAAGCTGTTATTGAAACAAAGCAACCTGTTATTTTGACTCCTGTTTTGACTTATAATACAAATGCAGCTTATCACTATATGCTGGTTTGAATATATTATTTTTAAAAATCGTCTTTTCAAGCTCTATCGTTTGGTGGTATTCCGGGGTCTTTAGCCCAAATACTTGCAGAGGTATTTAGTTTTCCATTGACGTGAGACAAAACAGTGAGAGTTAATTCAACTTCGATATAGTCTGAGAGCTGTTTGTTACTTTGCATTATCAGAAGATTCAACTGTTTCGATTTTTTCATTATATTTCGCCTACGCCGGCTATCTGGTAAACTCGACAATGGACAAACGTTCAAGTTCATCGCGCTACGAACGATTTCTCGCTTCAGCGAATAGCTATCTGGAGAAAACTGACGAATTGGAAGACGCCGAACGAACCTTCTCCAGCGCTGTAAGGGAGGTTTATCATTTGAAGAACAAAGTTTACGAAACAGCAATCGCCCTTAAAGGATTGGGTTTCGTATACAAAGCTCGCGGAAAGATTCACAAAAGTCGTGAAGATTTGGTCAAAGCTTCGGCGCTTTTAACTGCTTCGTTAAATCGACTGCGAGAATGCGATTCAGAAAATGAAAGTAAAAGAACTGTCGAAGTTGATTTAGAATCAGAAATTCGTTCTTTAGAAGAAGAGATCAGGAATGTCCACATGATGTTTATTGATGAAATACTTCAATCACAGCAGAATGATAGCCAGAGCGATTTTCGAAAACGTGAAATTTATATACAAACTCTTCAAGGGATCCGCGATTCTTGCCAATCGAAAATCAGCGCCTTTGATAAAATGCCTAAGCTTGACCCAGATGCAAGAGATGTCCGTGTTGAAAGGGAAAGAATTGAACAAACACAGAAACTGTATAAATTCATATCGAAATCAATGAAGGCTTTAATAACAAGCATGGCTGATGATTGCATAAAGGTTATGTCAAGTCCTCCGTGTGAATTTTCTATACTTGGTTTGGGGTCAACAGCAAGAGAGGAAGCTACGCCATACTCAGATTTAGAATTCTGTATTCTTGTCGAAAAGAACACGGACAGTGTCATGCAGTATTTTACCGACTTCACAAACCTACTTCATTTGAAAGTGGTGGAACTTGGTGAAACTATCCTTCCTAGCCTTGGAATAAAGTCGTTGAATGATTACTATTCCAGAAACAAGGAGGACGATTGGTTTTATGATTATGGTCGAAGAGGTTTTTCGTTTGACGGAGCCATGCCGTGGGCAAGTAAAACGCCAAAAGGACGAGATGAAACTTTGAAGAAGCCTTGGGTACAGTCCCTGATTAAAACTCCAAGAGATATGGTTGGCCTTCTTTCAGAAGAATCGATTTTCAAAGAGGGATACCATCTGGCTGATGTGCTTTCAACCCCTTCTTTAATTTATGGAGATGATTCGTTGTTTAAAGACTATAGCAAACTTATGAGAGAGTACTTCGAAAAAGCTGTGAACAATTGCAACTCGGCAAAGGTTGATTTCAAATCCACGTATCATATTAATCCAATGTCTTGGAAAGAGAGAATTTTACATGAGCTGGTTGAAGTGAATAAAAAATATCGTAATTTCCTTGCAGACTACATAAGAAGACCAGGCGGAAGTTATGAAGTGAAAACAAATATCTACAGATTTCCCAGCCTTGTTATACAATACGTTGGAAAGTACTTCGATGTTCAATGCCCGTCCTCCTGGGAAACGATTGGAAAGTTGGAGTCTGCAAAGTTTGTTTCTCCAGAAGGAGCTCATAATTTAAGAACAGTGCTTGGTATAGCAGCTGAACTTCGGTTGAGAACGTATTTAAGCAACCAGTGTCAAAGTGAGTATTTCAAAACCAATTTTAAAGATTTATTGTGCTTACTGCAGAGATTTTTCTGTACCGTCATACCACTAGAAGAAGCAGTGAAAAAGTTGAGTGATGCTAGCGGTTTACCTGAGGTGATGAAAACGGAATTATATCAAAATATTCCAAAAATAAAAGCACAGATGTACTTGCAATTTGGGGAGTACGACAAAGCTGAGGAGATCCTTGAACGCATGTTTGTAAATACACAAGAAGACGGAATTGCCGAAATGCTAGGAATTTCGTTGTACTTGCAAAATAAACTCCCGGAAGCGCTTGAATACTTCAGAAAAGCACTAGAAATTTATGAGCAAAAATACCAACATGATCAAAATTCACTTAGCAATGGAGAAAATTTTGGGAGGAGTTGTGTAAACTATAGTGTTGTTCTGCATGACTTGGGGAAAATCGAGGAAGCCATATCTTATGGAAATAAAGGTCTAGAAATCAGATATTCAATGCTTGAAAAAAATATGGCAACGGCAACATATCAGATTATTAATATGTTAAATGTCGCTGAAGCACATTATAATTTAGGCAAATTTCATATAGTGTCCTTTTTATCCGGTAATAAGAGACACGGGACCATAGGTTTGCATCATTTGCAACATGCACACGATATTGCTAACATCTTATATAACAAGTACAATACAGCTTTTCCTTACGACCTTGGAGTGTTTTTCTTTCAAATGAAATATTATCTTAAAAAGGAAAGATGGGAAAAGGCTGAGAAAATCCTGAGTGACGCTCTAGAAACGCTGTATAAGAAAAGAAAATATGATATATTTACAGCAGTTGAGACCGAAATGTTAACTATGCTTGGGCTTTTTGCGTTAGACACGAGAGATTTGGAGAAAGCGAGGTTTGGATTTACCAGAGCTTACGAGATCTCTTCTCACATCCATGGAGAGAACGATCATGATTCTTTGGTCCTATCACTTGAAAACCTTGGAATGCTTAGTGAAAAAGAAGGAAAGTTCAAGGAAGCTGAATCGTTCTACACGCAAGCTAAAGAAATGAGTATAAGAATCCATGGTGAGGGTAGCGATAATGAGTTTTTAAAGAGACATCGAGAAGGCATAGGAATGAAAGTTTGGAGAATCGATAAAAGTTATCGTCAGCTGCTAGAAGAAGAATGGTTACCACCTTTTATTCGTGAATTTCTTTTGCATCTTGATACATATTAGTTTCGCCTAAACCTGCACGTCAATGTCACGATAAACTTACAACGTTCCAGGCATGTCGCATACCTGACTACAATACAGTTGGTAGTAGTAATTCCAAAAGAGACGAATGAAATTGAAAGATAAACTCAAGAACATTAATATTAATGATGCGCTGTGGTCTGTGGCTGACAATATGACGAAAAAATTATAATTAGGAAAAGACAGAACATTTTAAGATAATTTTAAACAATATTGTATGTACAGTAATTTGGTAAATAAAAAATAATGTGATCTTTTTAATGAAATCTTTCTATCCATTAATCCTGCCTGGGCAGCAAATACTAGAAAGAGAGACGCCCAAGTTCCCCCCTTAAAAATTGTCTTGTGAAATAAATTAAAGAATGAGTCTATGGGGACAAATTGGTAGGTTCCATTAGATATTTAAGTCAGTGATTTGAGTGGTGGTCAACCTTGTGGTGCAAACACAAAGTCAGCACAAGCAATGAAGAACTATAGTGTAACTCACTCAAGAAATTTTAACTTTGCGTTAACCAAAAAATACAATAGTTGCTGTGAGTAAATGTCATTATCGCATTAAATAATTATTGGAATTATTCAACTCTTGCAGCCGGTGCTTTTTTTAGATTTCAGTTTTAAAGCTCATACTATTGTTTACTCAAGGCAATTCTTTCCCTGTAGCTAAAAAGTGTTGCTAGGGTATACTTAGGAATCCACCATGGATATAGTTTTTAGACCTGGAACTAAAACAAGTTAGAACAAAATGTTACCTGAGCATTTTTGCAACCTGCCAAGATTCTTTGTTTTCAAAATCTCCACACTCCATGTTAGCAGGTTGAGGGAAACCATCCGTACTACCATCATTCAGCTTCCAAATAATCACAAAACAATCTAAAATGACAGTTATATGTATAACTTGTAAAACCATTCACTTGAAGTTCAGCTCATGCTGGCCATCAACTACATTTTGATTGTGTGGAAACTACAAAATTAAGTTTATTCTGGGATTAGCTTGCAGCCCCAAGGTGAACATTGTGCTAGCACATATTGTATGTACACCTGTGCATTTCCAATGGCTGGATTAACAAAAAAATGTTAGTAGATCATATATAAGTCGATTTTTTTTGTTAATTACACAAGGAAAAAGTTAAGAAATTGATTGGCATCTAAAAATGAGATTTTACAGTACCATCTCCACCTGATGCCAACATATTTCCTACAGAACAAGAGAAAGATTTTATATCTTGATCAATTTTTGAAAAACCTTAGACCTTTGGGGCATATATAGTAATGAGGAACATACTAAGGTACATAGTTTACCTTGTGGAGAAAATCGTACTACATTGACTGCTTTAGTATGTCGAGATAAGTTTGACATGAACTCAACCTTAGAGCCCTTATCATCATCATCAAGAACAGCCCATATCTAACAAAAGAACACATACTTTTTTCACTGAACACACAAGTAAATCACTGGTTGTAGCAAATGTCATCCCATGATCCTATCCCTAATATGGTACTAAGATACGATCACATGTGCTTTCTAATGCTGTTATTCACAATAAACACCATGCAATAGTCAAAACACTCAGCATATAAAACTATTAAGCTCACAGTGCAGTTTTCAATTTGTCTAATGAGTCTGTCTTCTAAGTCCATGTCTAATGAGCCTGGTTACCTGAGATTTAGCAAATCATTTTGAGGTATTAACCTTAGGTTAAATACTTAAATGTGGGGATTAACATACATCTCCAAAGTCCAAACAAGTGCATACTATTGTCGGGATGACCATATCACTGACAGAATCAGGTGATATACTTTAAGTCTTTAATATTTCAATACCTCAAAATCATCTCATGATTGCACCTTGATTTATAACAAATCAAACTTTTTCAACGATGAAATCACCGAAAATACTGTATTTGATAAAGCAACAAATCTCCGTAACTAGCAACGATGTCCGATCTCAACGCATGTTACTTAAAATCCCTACGCGAGGCAACAGTTGTTCCGTAGTGAACATCTCAACCACATTTCTATATTAACATGCATTGAAATCCGTTTTTGTTTCAAGACACGACATCATTTGTTACGTGTTGATTCCAGATCGCTGCCACGATCGTTCAGAAATACAAAAATCGTAGCAGAAATTTTATATAAAAACATTGTGAGAATTTATATCAATAAATACCCTGATATTTGAATCAGCGCCGCTCGTGACCAAACGAGTCGCTTTGTTACTTAACGAGAAATCGAGGCTGAACAATGGTTCCTTTCCATGCCAGGAGATTTCTGGAGTTGTAAGTCGCATTGCTTGAGAGTATTGTGGAAATTTTGTTATTCTTATGTTCGAAAGTCCTCAATGTATCGAATGTTATTGAAATCGACATCGAGTTTCCCGCCAAATTATAAAATTTTGCGCCAATGTTTCCACATTCATAAAATTGTTTCGATTCTTCCCACGGCGTTTGCCGGTCAAAAGTCGGAAGTTGTCGGAAAAAAGGTCGGAGTGCCAAGTCATCCTAAAAGTTTGATTTTTACTCGAATTTTATTCATTTTTCTTCCAAATGCGACGTGCTGCAGGTAATTACATGATCCTTTTGATAAAGTGTTAGTTGACTTACTTAAGTTCACGAAATCTATTTTTTAAAGAGGGAAAAGTAATTTTTAATATCAGACGTGTATTTGTAATTTTACAATTTACAGTGCTACTTATATACTGACATACATAATAAATTTCAATTATACATGAAAAGATATTCGCATGCAGGATCATTGCCATTTCTAAACGCCCTTGAAAAGTAGCATTTTTGTTGCAACTTTTTCTTTGTCAATGATGTGATTGAATGGTCAGTGCTAATTCAATAATGGTTACCCCCCACCCCCCTCCCCTACCTCTTGGGGGTTGCCTAACCCAGTGTACCCTATTTAGTGTGGATTGTTAACAGCAATAATTGAGCCATGCCTAAGTTCCGAAATGGCTAACAATTTTTACAGCAAAAATCACAAATTTGTTCATGAGCAATTTTCTTTAACCATCAGTTTTGATCAATTGTGAATGAAATTGATGGTCCTGCGTGAAACATCAGAACACTGAATTTGAAGCGTAAAATTGTCACATTGCATGTTGCATGGATTAAATGGAATTATGCTACCTGAGTTAGGAATGGATTATTTATAGACTAAAACATATTTTCAAAGTTTAGTTAAATCAATTATCTTTGCAACTAAATCATTGACAAAGTTTGCTATTTCAGGTGCAGGGCATGATTATGGAGCTCCTCAGGAAAAACACATGTTGGAAGAAGAAAATGATAAAATGGTTGATGCCTTGTCAAATAAAGTACAGGCTTTGAAATCTGTAAGTTGTAACAAACTTAAGCAAGGTTATCTCAGTATCTACTTTGCAAATGCCAAGACAGAGTTTCCATACATTTCCTCATTGAGGTTTTCCTTGATTGTTTGGTAAATATATTTGAATTTGGGTGGACTGTAGGAGTCTTACGCAGTTACTTCCATCCATAGGTGTTCCACATGTAGAGGCATTCCATGGTTGTATATATTGAATGTATTGTATATAATTTTCCATCTCTATATAAGTTGACTATAGATATTGGCAATGAAGTTAGGACCCAGAACAAAATGTTGAAAGGCATGGTAAGGAAATAATTGCAGCTAACACAGAAAGTTCTATGTCAGCTTGACCTGTGTTTGATTGCTATATTTATCAACTATTTTTATTACTATAAAATTTCTGTAATTGTACATGTTTAGATCTAAATGAATTAAGCTAGTTAATTTTGTTCATAAAACCCTCAGAATTATCACCACAAAAGGTTCCAATCTATTTTTCTGCACAGGATGATGACTTTGACAAGACCGGGTCATTTTTGAGTGCAACAATGGGTCGGCTCACTGCTTTAACTAAGAAAGGCCATCAATGGACTATGTGTTATTTACTTATCTTCTGTCTCTTTGTGTTTTTTGTTGTGTATTATTTAAAGAGGAGTTGACAAAATATACTCTGTAGAGATATAAATATAAGCAAAAATATTATAAAAACCTGCTTTAAAATAGAAAAAAATAACTGACAAACAGCAAAGTTCAGGGAAGATTCATTGAATTAACAGTACCAAAAATTAAATGTAAATAGTTTGGGATGGGGGGACAAAGTGGAAATATTAGAATACATTTTAACATCAATCGAAAACATGATCACATTAGCTACTGTTATTACTGATATAAATAGCCCGGTTTGAAATTCCCTGTATTTGTAAATATTTAGATCTAACAAAATCTAATAAAATCATGAGGTTTTGTTTATTTCTAGATTTTAACAATTTTCACGAATCTATTGTATTTGTGATATTTATTACACATTTTCTTGGGACAGGTTTTGGGCCTTTCCTGGATGATAATTCGGATCAATTGAAGCGCAAGGGCCAACCTTTGTTAATTATTAACTATTCTATAAATTAAGACGCGTTCCGGCTCTTTGATTGGTTCCTTCAAAAAACAGGAGCATAATATTGTACCACATGTGCAATATAATGTTCATTTCCAACATACCTTCGAAAATACTCGAGAATGTTCATCTAAATCGCAAGGAGCTGTGCTTTTCTGCGAAGGAAAAGTGTTTTTCGTAAGAGGGTAACGTCTGCACAAATTCAGCCGCCGCATCAATCCTGCCGCATCAATTTGACTCTATCTACAAAATTTTACTGAGGTCTGGATTCAACAGTTGTTTATCAAAGGTAAGATAAATTATCATAAATTGGAAATACGTCGAAGTTGTTTTGTATTTTTACTGCTACTGTGGTGCAACATTTGTTTTACAAACAGTTATGTTTCCTCGAATTTTAAAAATATTTTCAATTTCAGATAATTTCAAGTCCCGATTGCGACTGTTCACCGGGAATATGCAGAAACACGGCGCTGTGGTCTCTGGATCTTTGTCGGTTCAACCCGAAATCAACGTACAATGCCTCATAGCCAAATGGGCTTCATTGCAAAATACGAATCTTCCTACTTCCATCGAGCTTGCTCTAGAAATTTGCAAGATTTTACAAGATCAGAAAAACCACACTCTTCTTGGTATGTTTTTGAATGCACTACCCGAAAGCGAGATGTACTCCAAAAACGAACAGATTATCCGGTTTAAAATCTCCCTTGCACTTGAGATGAAAAATTTTAGTGTCGCTTATGATCTAATAAAAGTATGTATGGTATATTTCTTATTATATATTTTACTGTTTATTTTATGATATTTTCCAGATATTTTTCTGCCCATATTTTCCTGCCCCACAACGGCATCAACGAAAAGTGAAATTTACAACTTTCACTCCACGTAAATGTTGTGAAATCAACATATTCTTGACACGGAATATTGCCAAATAACATTATACTTTGATGTTTTGTCTTTTTATATCTTGTTTTTATTATGCGGCGCTCTTGTCAAAGCTTGTCAACGCCTGCCGAGTTAAATATAGATCTATACAATGTTTTTGAAAATGTTTTGAAAACTAGCGTTCTTGATTTTTTTTTCAGCGGATATTGCCGTCGATGTAGTTTTACTATCTTCTGATATCTCCGCTTTCGATATCCGAATTTTGTTATAGTAATAGTGCTAAAGAAATCGATCTTTTGTTGAAAAATCTCCATGCAAGTTGTGTGTACATTATTTTGTACCTGAAAATAAGTAAAATTCAGTCTAAGATCACAGTTCTAAAGTTTGATTATAAGATTCAGTACACTACGCATACTAATTTAAATTCAATAAAAATAACAACCAATCTTGAAAACTTCCGATCTCACTTATTCATGGAAGAGTGGAAACAATATTTTCCTGTTTTTTGGTCATGTGTTATTTTATTAATTCCCAGAATAATGAATTTCAACACGGAGATGACCTGATCGATATTTGGGACAGCGCACATTATGCTGAAGATGTTGAGCGAACCAGAAAGCCACACACACCTTTGAGCCGCTTTAGAATTCGTCAAAGGTACCACCACCACTTGCACTACCTGGATTTTTTATAGGCTCAATTTTATGTTTGTTTTCAAGGAAAGTCAATTTTAGATTATAAAAGGAAGATAATTTTAGATTTCCCCCACCGGAAAGCATATGTCCTCAAGGTGGAAGAAAAAAGATTGGTTTACCACAAGCATCAAAACATGTTTTACAACAATGGTTAAATGAGAACGCCAGTGATCCTTATCCCTCGAAAGAAACAAAAGATTATTTGTCGAAAAAGGCAAATATTACAATCCAGCAGGTATATGGGGGGGGGGGGGATAAGGGTCATTTTGCGTAGTGTGATGAGTGGCTTAATTTTTTTGTTATTTTTCTTCTGTCACGTCGTATTCGCAGGTGAAAACATGGTTTGCCAACGCAAGAAGACGCCTTACTCGCATTCAAAGTAGAGAGAAGGGATACGTATCTTGGAAAAGATCTCAAAGAACATGGGAAAATGAAGAATGCGAGAAAACTGTTCAAACAGTTCCAAGAACATCACTAGTAGAAAATGATGACAAGTCAGAATGGTGTGAGGTATAATCGGAAAGTCACGCAGAATGGTGACTAGCTTTCATAACGATCATATCGCATGTATGATATATATCTCTACTGAACAAGGAGGAATTTCGTTTTAGACCAATCAGAAGATTTGTTTACATTTTGAGTGACCGGATGTACAAACTTTGACGACCTTATTTCCGGTAAAAAACTACATTTAGCAAATTTGCCGACTAGTTTAAAACGAAATTCTGCTGCGGTTTAAAACCATTCAAGTATAGTTACGGTTAAAGTTAAAATATTATAGTTTCAAATAAGCTTGCGTTATTTGAAATAAGCATGCATAATAAAATTTTATATGATCATAGGCCATTAAAGAATCGCTCGGACGAAATGAGAAGTCATACTCGAGCTCCGGTTATGAAGATCACGACCCTACGAACTACGATTGATCAACTTAACAAAGAATTCAACATGTCAGAGCATTCTGAAGCATCACCACCGCCTTCATTCATCGCACCCTTTTCACCATCCTGCACCATCCAAGGAAATACCTCCACCAGGTATAATGTTATGGAATTAGGCCAAGTAATCGAATTTTTAGTGGATTGAACTTTTTGCAAATTTCCTAATTTCATGATTCAGCATATAAAATATTATACTTTTCTGCTCGATATTTGACAGCTCACTTGGAAATTCCACAAGTCATAACGTCTCTATTCCTCCATTGCAACTGGTGCATCCGTTACCTGTTGTTAACCCCACCCTGTATGGACCGACACCTTTAACTTATTTCTTCGATTACTACTCATATTTTCCTTTCAATTACCCATTGTCGATCATGTACGGTTTAAGCAACCGCTGTAAGTATACAGTGCATTTCGTAATCGAGCATAGTATACATACATATAGAGCATAATATATAGTTTAATTTGTTTGGATTTTTTGATTATACATCATGACTAATCATATTTCTGCATTTTTTCTTTGGTACATCGATAATTATTATACATTGTGTATACTTCTTTTTTTTTATTTTGGTACAGTTTATGCTCAAAGCGTGATCCTTTTTTTACGTTTTGCATTTCAGTGGCATGCTCTGATGGCAATACTCTAGTGATGAGCCGTTTCATTCCGTCTTATATTTTGCCGGAAGAAGTTGCGCGCCGTCAAGCCGCTTCGGAACTCTGGAGTTCATTTTTGTAGCAGAGAATGGCTGGGATTCGAACACAGGTTTCAGTTGATGTAATATGCATAAAAATTGTTGAAATGTTAAGATATATATATATATATATATATATATATATATATATAATTATATATATATATATATATTTTCGCGAAATGTGACCTTTTAAATCACCCCAAAATTATTTAGATTTCATATTAGCTTAGCTTACGGCACGCCATGCAATAATAAGCTTCTTCAAAATTAACCCCTGATCTTTTCCAGGATAATCAACAAAAAAATGTTCGGGGAAGGAACAAGATGAATTCTGTACATTTCTTTTGCACTCGAACCAGAAACATTTCTTCATTGTACTGCCAAGAATAGGCGACCTGCAAAAATCTAAAATTGACATAGTCTGCCTGCATGATATCTGAGCTAGGAGGTTCTGATATGACGATCTATGCCGTCATAATAAAAAAGATGGCGGCATATATATCGATTAAAAATTATTTTTTGCGAATTGAATCGACTATGACTATGTCTGTATGATGGCATTGTTAAAATGTTTCCAATTTTATTGTTCACCTTTTCACGAACGTTTTTGACTGCAAGGTAATTTTTTGTCAAAAAAACGAATTTTTTTCTCAACATCTGGCTATAGTCGCTATTTTCAGTCGCTTGGAGAGAATTATGTTGTTGTTGACAAAAATAGGACGGCCTGCTAAGAACATGCAAAACTTGTTGTCGACATGTTGATATCAACATGTCGCTATCCTTCCGCTTGTACATGCAGAGTTCTGCCGTTGTTGACAAAAATAGGACGGCCTGCGAAGAACATGCAAAACTCGTTGTTGACATTCTGGCCGAGTTCTGCCGCTGTTGACAAAAATAGGACGGCATGCGGAGAACAAAACTCGTCAAAAGGAAGCCAGTCCTCATTAAACTAATATGATATAATAAGCATTTCGAAATTGTTTTCTTAACTGATTTAAATTCGCAAAAACCAATGTTTTTGAGATCAAAATGCCGCCATCTTTTTTATTAATGTTGAATTCTGGGGTCATTATATAAAACTTTGAAGTTTACTGACGTCATACTGGTAATCATAGTTCATTATAAAACACTTTGAGTTTTCTTGATGCGATATGAGACTATGAGTAATTACGGTTCATTATATATCACTTTAAAGTATGCCGTGCTTACAAATAATAGCTGTAGCATATGTTTGAAGCAGACGTCGCTATATACAATTACATTTGTCTGGAGTGAGAATTTATGACAAAAGCGGAACATGACTCCAAGATACGGCGGCAAATTTCGTCACAAAATCTACAGTATCGCGAACGTTATGCGATTCAGTTTGTTATTTATGAATAACTGTTATAAACTTCGCGAATTCGGATGTAAATAAGCTTTGCCTTTTGTAGTTCACTTTGTTAAAATTACCCGGTTCAATACATGTTTAGTTGTAGCGGCAGGTGCAAGTTCTTTTGAATGCATGTTAACTTTATAGTTTCCCCCTTTTTTTTGTTTTTCCCCTTTTTTTTGTTTTTTACTTTGCTGTACTCTATTCTGCATTGGTACAAGCTGACGTTTAATACGTTTGGGACATTTTCTTAAACGTCGCAAATTCGGTTCAAGCCCCAGACGGCACTTCAGCTTTTACTGAGCAAATTTCGGCAGTGCTGCATAAGTCAACAATTAGTTGGGCCAATATTAAAACCGCTTTTCAGTGCTAATGACCTTTTCTCATGTCAAGCCTCTCATGTTTCATGGCCCTCGGGTAATGTTTTACCCGTAATTTTTTGAACCGCGTAGAGTATGTTTCGGCTAAAAACTTGTCATGGTTTCTTTTAAATTTCAAAACAGCCTCAAAATGATACTGACTTTATATAATAGATATTCGACGTGAAAAACGCAGAAGCACTGGAATATTCCAGAAAATGTGTGAAAAAATATGTGTGAATATAATTATATTTTACTAAAATTGAGCAGCATATGTCGGCAAATTTTAAGGTAGGGTTCTTTTTTGGTATTTTAACAACTTTTTAGCCGGTTTTCAGCATTTTATGTGCAGCACACATTCTGAAGAATAATTTTAGAAAATCGTATTCGATCTTTTAACCCAAAACGTAATAATCTCAACCAATTCCCAAGCTCCGCTAATCGCGACTTGCGGCGTTTGAACATTTTTTGTATTGTTTGCCGCACAATATTTCATTCGATTTTCACGTGGCTGTTGCTCACACTGTTGTAGCGGCCCGTATGCCTAAAAAGACGCCTTGTCAACGTCAGTGTATACATTTGTAACTTTTTGTTTTGAGTTTACCTTCCGTTTGTAAAACGCGAATTAAGAAATTCATAATTAAAAAGATAACATTTTTGTTATTTAGCTTTTTTTTCGTTCGTGCTGAACCGCGGCTGAACCAGCGCGCTTTAAGCATCTAATATATTGTATTTCTTTTTATCTATTTATTCATCAGTCTAATTCTGAACAGGCAGATGCTATGCGTATAGCATTTATGTAACACTTTGAGACTGATTGTTATGCCCAACGGCGTGATTTCATTGCTGAGAATTATCAGAATAAGAACAAAAATGAAGCTTCCTTCGCATGTTTCAGGCCTTGTTGAACATACGTGTGGTCATATTGTGGATTTGTGGATGAACTCGTTTTTTACCCAACCATGACGTCATTAGTGGTGTCTGCGGTCAATTTTTTGTCGTATACTGCATCCGGTCACTCTACTGCGAAAGAATCTGTTTACGCGAAAAATATATATCAGTGGCCGGTTGTATCAAGCCCGTTTAGCTTAAACGGTGGATAAGTCAAAATGAAATAACACTCTTACATCTCTCTTGAATGAGTCAACTTGAATATTATGCACTGAATATGTAGTTGTAAACAGTATCTTTGTATTAAGGTTAAAAACATTTAGTTCGGAGTTTCGGATGTTGAATAAAAGGATAGGCTAGCTTTCTATTTGGACTTATAAATAACCACCGACATGTAAAATTCAAAACTGAAAATCACAAAGTAAAGAGAATTGCGAGGCTGAATATACATGCTATAAATATACATATTTTTAATCTCCTGCAGACAATACGGCAACATCTTTCATGCATAATTCAAACGTGCAATTTAATCAGTTTATCCTGACCGACCTGGAACTGTCCAATTCCTATCCGCGTTTATAGATCCATGAGGAAATGAGCATCGCGAGGCTGGTGAAGTCCCCATCGCTGCATGTTTTCTGTGCAATCACGACTCCAAGTTGTTTTCAACAAAATGCGCTTTGTTCCATTCTTGCTTCGTACGAGTTCGTGTGCCCTCCCACGTCCAGTAAAGATATTGTCCACTTGGTAGTTAGTATAATGATTGAAAATGGCAGTCTATAATATCCCTGCAGCTGAGTCAATATTTCTTATCATATTAAGAAATTAAGAAAAGCGTGATTCGGGGGCAGAGCGGCTCTCACAATATAAACCCACGTACATTTCCATAAAACGCGTTTCGAATTACAGTTCAGCTAAGTAGCTGTATGAATCTCTCTCACCTTGGCTATAGGAGAGTTGCCTTAGTCAGAATGATGGACAGTTTCATGCGCCAATAATGACGGCTGAACTTATATATAGTTAAAATTTATATATGCAACCCACTTGAGCCCACGTCGTCGGCCTAATTTCATGATCATGTTGCAAATTAACTCGAAACTATTGATTTTCATGTCCAATCCCGTACACTATCCTATACAACCAACCCAATGGCTCTTTCGAAGTTTCAGTCATTATAAGGCAGGTCAAAACAGTGCATTAACGAACTGTTTCTGAACAACATGTTTGTCCGCCATAAATCTCGCCATTACTAACCCAATACTGCAACTTGGTAATTTCCAATCACGCGCGTACGAAGCTGAGTATAAGTTACTTCTAAAGTTACGTATAACGTCTCACCAATAATCCTAAGCTCGCGGCTTAACAAGGCGGGGCCGACTTGCTTTGCCCCACAATGACGTCAGCAAGGAAAAGCATACATTTTCCCCGTGGAAGCACATTGTTGTCTGGCCGGCGGTCTTTTCAGTCGTCCTGACCTCTATGTGGAACAATATTTCCAATTTCCTATCGCACTATAATACTGTCCATATTTGCCATTTGTACGAATACGAACATGGACGGATCGGAACAGGGAGCCGAAAATAGCTCACACGGGGAAATCAACGACGAAGAGGGTTCACGGAACGATACGAGTGAGACTTCAACCAGCTTTAACGCGTCAAGACCGAGGCGATCAAGTATACTAAAGAAATCTAACGATAGACCTGTGCCAAAGTCCGTATCTTTCAGTTCAATTCCGGGCGAAAAAAAGGTTACAAACGGTAAGGGAGGAAGGCCCTATTTCTGGCTCATAATACTACGTGTTGATATTGGCTTTCCGTTGTTTTCATACGCGTAAGTTTGAGAACATAAATTTGTTTTTCAATATTTTTGTCTAGCTGCCGACTGTCTGTTGTCTATGCAAAGTGGCTCAGAATTGCATAAAGTTCGCTCTACCTCTCGGCAGTATTTACGATTCTTCTATCTGGACCCGGATCTATCGTGTCTACGATGGAGTCCATCGACGAAAAAGCCGGACAAAGCCAAAAGTAAGAGGACCCATCAATTTCGATTCGTATTGTAAAGTTGATTGCCCAGGCGGCTAGCGTTTCGTCTGGCTTCGAGAAAATATTTTTGTCATATTTCGTGCTGTGATCGTGCGGTGCTTTTCGCTTTAAATTAACACAAATCCTCGAGAGGAAATTATTATTTTTATAGCCGTAAAACGATAAAGGATGGTCCTGTTCGGATTCCCAAGCGCGTCAGATCTCATTTATTTCAAAGAGTTTATAAAATTTAAAGCCCCATTGACTAATTTTGACAATCAACTGGTTGGACTTCCGTGTACATAAACTAACACATATTTCGTCAACCCGAAAAAGTATAGAAAAAAAAGTCGGTATATTCTGAGAGCCCTTATTTAGAATTATATCCATGCCGGTTTACTTGATTAAATTCGATTAAAAACCGGCTGTACATAATATTTTCATTGCGAAGTTTTGACATAACTATATGTCAACCTACGATTGCAACCATTTCAACAATGTTTTGGTATCGAGTGCGATTGAAACCAATAAAACGAGATACCATCGCATCATTTACAACACAGAGACCTATTAAAAAGCGATCAATACAGTCCTTTACGTTAGAAACCAACTCCTCGATAGGTCTGATCAAGAGATCGACAAGATATGCATGTCAAATATTCCTTTGCATATTAAATTTGATTGCGATGTATTCGAGAAACCTTATATTTATAAACGTTTATGTTTACAAAATCGTTACATTACATTATTCTAATTGGTGAAATGCTACACCAAATGTTGCAATTAATAGAATTTGATACATTTTGCGAACAAAAATAGATGGGTTCGCTAAAATTTCTGGCCTTATCGCGGTCGCATCGCAAATTTTTTACGAGCATATTTACCCGATCTAAAATAAAAGCACTTGGCATTTCTGAGAGGATTATACAAACGGAAGTATATAGCGAGGGAACATTGATTCTCAAAACTCGCAGCAGTTCTGAAAGCAGTGCCCTTTGGAAAGCGAAGCTCTTTTTTTTTCAAAACGTTTCTAAGATTCTTTATTTTCATCGTTTATCGACATAAGTCATTTTTTCCTTTTGTTGTTCTGCATAATTTTTGTGTGAATTATTAATTGGGGATATTGTAGTGGATTATCGCTGTTTACCTTGAAAGGAAATATGTGTATTATAATATCACAATTTGAGGTGACATAAGCTGGTAGGTTCTCAGTCTACTAGAAGAATTTGGCACCTACTAAATGATCTTTGAGAACCCTAGGTTACCACTCAGTCTGCCATTTTCAACTGCACTTTAAAGATTGTATTTCTAACTGCATTCCCATGTAGTGTACTTGTTATGTTATATTGGCCGCACAGCACTCAAGTTTACCTTTCAATATCGACTGTAATCCTCGAAATATAGCTTCTCCTGCAGGACTAGTTTTTTCTGACATCATTTTGAATAGGCTGGTAAACTCAATATGGAACACTATACTAGAACCCCATTAAAACAACTCCCAACAGTTTCTAAATTCTAAGACTGATGTATGTCTGTTAATGGTTTATATGGGTCTTAATGTATCAAACCTTTAACCCTGGTTATTGTGTAGCTGTTTAGTGCTTTGTCCCTATCCCACAGCATTGTGCATGTGGCTGTGCTATGTTCAATAGTGTAAACATTAAAAAAAAAAAACAGGCTTAATCACAAATACTGAGCAAGTTTTGTAAATTGCTGTCAACTTTTTAAAATACAGGCTCCAATTTTTAATCATTTAGGCTCAATAGTCGGGTAATTTTAAGATAGAATAAATGTAGAAAAAATCCAAGACTATGATAATTTCAAAACCCTTGTCAGAGATTATTGTGCAAACTTCCATCTGTTGAAAAATCAACCATTTTTATTGTATATATTTAATTATTAATGCTTTGGCTTAATTTGCATTTTGCTATCCATCCGGTTGTTATCAAAAAAGTGAATTAACTACAGTTACAACTTAATTTTCCTGAGAATTATTCTGTCCATTTCAGAATTTATAATATTTCAAATGTAATTAAGTATCCCTCTGGGGGAAAAAAGAAAATGAAATTGATGCAAATTAAAGGCATGTAAATTTCACCTGCACAACAAAGATAGTGCATGACATTTTGAAGAGCTTAGACTTCTACAATATTTTACCATTTTAAAATTTCGAAGAGCGATTCTCTCAATAAATTCTTGAGAACTAACTCCCAGGGCCATAGCTAGAAGCTTAATTGGGAGAAGGGAGCACATTCATATATTTATTTTATGCCTAAATGCTATTAATACATGAATATACACCCCCAATTAATCTTCAAAAACTTTTTTCCATGAAACTTATACATTATATAATTTAATATTTTATAATTTTGCATGTAATTAATGTATGATATAACTCCACAATAATGAAAATCAACCACCTTCGGTTATGTAAAATAAAATATGAATTTTTTTCAGAACAATATTTTTGCCGCCAAAACTCATATCGTTTTCCGTCTTGTTGAAAAGCCTCTTATAAACATGATCATACTGTAGAACGACTAAAAAAGGAGTAATTTTAATCAGTTTACCTTTTGTAATGTTTTGTACGATAGGAAAGCTTCTTTTAAGTGAAGTTTTAACCAATTTTTATCGATAGTTTGTATCTTTCAAGAATTTTACAGCCATGCTATTTTTGCCACGCTTGCTTGCGACTGATCTCAATTGTGATAAAAACATCGCAACTGGAATTAAATTAGAGTTGTTAATCTAATCTAATCTAAACCCCTCGGTACCCCAATCCCTTATCCCCTATATAAGATACAATCTTTCTCTTTGAAGTTCCGCTTTCGATGATCAAAGAAGTCAGATCAGGCAAGAATACGGAAGTGTTTCGAACGTTAGAACGGGACGACATTCCGGAGGACTGCGCTTTCTCAGTAATTCATGGAGAAAATTTTATATCGTTGGATCTTATCGCTACCAGTCCCGATGACGCCAACATTTGGATTACTGGCTTACGGTGCCTTCTCGATTCGGATATCAGTAAGTTGGCTGTAGTGCTTGGGGTCCCTCACGGCGGAGGGGGGGGGGGCGTATTGTTTGAAGCGGTGGATGCAGAATATGATACCATCAACAATTTAGAGGTGGGGGTAAACTGTGCCCATAGAAAAGTCCTCCAAAATCGCCCTGTTTCTGTAATTTAAGGCTTTTTTATTGCTTTATTGGATTCGATAAGAGACAACACTAAAAATAATGTGGAATATGTGTCATTAGAGTATTGACCTTATGTAAGGAAATTCTCTTGCATATCGTGTGCCTTTATCATGCCGTATGCCCTGGCTTTGTCGTGTTTAATGTATTGATTGAGATGAGATGAATATACAAGCGACTGCCATCTTGTCACTAATTTCTAGTCATGGTATACTAATATCTGGTTTCATTCAACCAATATTTCACCAGAAACCGTAGAGCTATTTCGAGAATTACATGCCTTTTGTATCTATTTTTAGGTGAAAATTGTTTTGAGAGCCGACAGCATATGAGGGACAGATATCCTTTAATCTTTTAACATGTTCGAACATTTTTTATTCTGAATTAACGTCAGGGTTCAAAATAGTCTCATAAACATGAAGTTATTTAATAGGCCTTCAAAAATATTTGCTATTTTTGTCCCGGCTTTTTTTATCACTGCTTCGCCGTGATTGGGAAGAGTCAATGATCGAAAACATGTTTAAAGGTGGACGTTTTTCCTAATACATGTAAAGTGTTGAAAGTTCAGCCACTTAGGAAAGCTGAATGCACATTGTCTAAACAACAAATTTTAAGTGTTATAACCACAGCGCATTATAAAATACCTCTTGTGGTAAAATCAGCTATAAGAATGTCATAATGACTAAGGGTTCTACCTACTTAAAATTTGGCGCCATAAATATGCCGGCTATTGCCGGCTGTTAAATCCATGATGACTAGCCTTATTTCACTTCCGTATGTGGAAGTCTGAATGACAGAACATTTCGACACACGCATCTGACAGGGAGTGTTTTCTGTAAATCTTGTTTTGTTGTCATAGTTTTACGTAAGACATCTTTCGTGAACTTCACCATCTTTTGAAGCACAACCCATTAATGAGGTTTTCTTTAACGAATTTTTACATGGCTGAAGGAAATGTTTATTCTAGCCGACAAAAAGAACAAAGGTTTGCTAAACGAGACGGAAATATTGGGACTCTTACAACAGCTCAGCGTTACAGCGCCTACCAGAGTTGTTAAGCAAAAATTTAAGGTTTGTTCAAAAACATTTTGTAGTTTTAAGGCTAACTACTGGGAGGATTCTCATAAAACTTTACATTATAATTCGTTTTTGATCAGTTCGTTATTCCAATCAAGCTTTTTCTCTTTATACCTTATGCATGGTTCTTCCTGGAAACAATGCTCCCAGTTTCCGTTTCTCTGGGGAGGAGCTCAGTTAAGTTTTCTTCTTGATTTTTCATCGATAGGAAGTTGCTGTTAGCAACTCAAGACCGCAAAAAAACAGTTTGAATAAGGAAGAATTTCTACAGCTTTATAAAGAATTGACGACTCGTCCGGAGATTTACTTCCTAATGGCAAGGTAATGTACGTTTGGACCCAGCTCCCGGCACGGGTGGTCTTTAAAATTCTAATCACATGCACCTTACCCATTTCAACAAACTCTCGGCGATTGATTTAACAACCCTATTATCACGGCGTAATTTACACCAGTTTAGGGATTTTAAACTTGTGTGTTTCAGAAAGCAAACTACATACCAGTCACGTATTTTTCATAGTGGGAAACTAAGATTTGGTGTTAAACTGGGCTAAGATTGCGTTCTGTCTATGTTATTTCAGGTACGCCAGCAATAAAGACTATTTAACGACAGACGATTTACTTATCTTTCTGGAATCTGAGCAAGGGGTTTGTGGAAATTTTTTCAAAACTTTTTATTTTGTCAACAGACCTTTCGTTTTTATCTGCAAATATAACTCTTTGGAAGTGGACCAAACCATTCTAAAATTGAATTTAAAATTTTTTCAAATTGAAAATTGTGTTCGCTTCTCATCTTTCATATTATATTTTCTAGTTGACGCGGGTTGGGAAAGACCATTGCGTGGAAATTATCAATCACTGTGAACCCACTGCTGAGGGAAAGAGAAATAAGTGCATGGGAATTGATGGTAGGTGCATGATAACACCTGGTGCATGGTGAATATCTCCATTTGAGTTTGAAAAATATATCGACTAGATCTTTGTTCAAGGAAGAAAACCTGAACTTCTCTCTATGGGTCCGTAAGGTTCATCTTTTGCGTTATATATACGACCCCAGAAAATCTTACTTATTAGTATTATCTATACTTGATACACTCCAATCATTTTGACCCTTAATAGTTCAGTGATAGTATTAGTATCCTCCCATTGAACTATTGTTTCTTTTCTTTAGGATTCACGAAATATTTAATGAAACCAACCAATGATCTATTTAATGCCGACTGTGTTCAAGTCACGCAAGACATGACACAACCATTATCACATTATTTTATTGCATCGTCGCATAATACGTAAGTATAGAGTCGACTATAAAGGCTAATAGCTACATAAATGCCCACTGTGTTTTGCAGTTAGCTTCACTTACCCAGCCTTTTTATTTACTATTGACGGACAAAAATGCTCATTTACTGATATTAAATACACCAAATAATTATCGTGCAGGGCCGGTTGTATGAAAGCCGGATAGTGGTTTTTTCAATCGCTTCAAAATCGCTCGTTATTTGCCACAACTTTGATTAAATCTTAGTATTCTTAAATCGAGGATCCTCTTTAATAATTTTTGCTTCTAAGCTGAAATTTTATCGCTTTTCGAGCATTTTTAGAACGATTGAAAAAATCACTATCCGGTGGATAGCGCTATCCGGCTTTGATACAACCGGCCCCAGTAATATAAGTTTACAAAGTACAAACTTTCCACGTTTCAATACGTATTTCAAACGTTTTCAATACGTGTATTTCTAGATATTTGTTAGAAGACCAAATCACTGGCAGGTCCAGTGTGGCAGGATATACGAAAGCTCTGTGTGAATTGTGTTGTAGATGTGTAGAATGTAAGTTCAAGCTGTATACATTCTAGTAGCGAATATTTCAAGTATTTACAAAAGATAGTTCGGGAGGTTTTGGATTATCAGTGTAATTTACATTGACAATACCAGCCTTACAAAATTATCCTCTTGCCTCTCGCAACAGCTAACTGTATGTAGGGTGGACAGAATCGTAGTATGAGGTGATTTGTAAAGTCGATTTTATAGCCTGATATCACGTGTCTTTGCGTTCTCTAGTGGACTGCTGGGACGGTCCGAATGATGAGCCCGTGATCTACCACGGACGAACGCTGACGAGTAAAATTCTTTTCAAGGATGTTATTCAATCAATAAATGAATGTGCTTTTGAAACGTCAGAGTAAGTGACCTTGTTCTGTTTCAATTCGAATAATCCATCCATCCCTCATTGATCGGAATATTTTAACTGGACAGCGACTGTTTTACCGGCGCGTGTTTGTTGAAGCTCTACTGAGCTTTTCGCGCAATCTTGAGTCCTACGTAACGTAATACATCCCAATAACTTAGCAGTTTACCCTTTAGAATTTGTACTCGTTAGCAAAGATGTGCGAGTTTTGTACCAAGCACTTGCTTACATCTGTGGATGCAACATTGAGCGTAGAAATATAGCTAAATTAACTGCTTCATTTGAAGCATTCTCCACTTGTATCTCTGATTGAATTGTTTATAATGAATAAAACAATAATGTATATATAATCTAGGTGTTTAAAGGGTCTTAATTACGAGTGGAATTTCCAACTCTTAAAACCTCTAGAATTTACATGCATCGAGTTAAGTGCCAAAAATCACAATAATGTATTATAGTGTTTGACCTTTCTAAGTCTAATCAGTGTAAACTTCCATTTTTTTAGCTTTCCAGTAATATTATCTCTAGAAAACCACTGCAGTATCAAACAACAAACAGTCATGGCAAATCACATGAAGGAAATCTTAAAAGGTAGAAAGAAAAGTAGCTTTCAGTTTATGGTCTGCTTATGGTGCATATATGGATTAAAATCTTCGCTTTATCATCCGGAAAAATTGGGAAGTTAGCATTTGATATAGATAGTTCAATGTGTGTTTTGTTTTCTTTATCACAAGATAAGCTACATACAGTCCCGCCGGACAAGGAAAAAGATTGCTTACCTTCACCTGAAGATCTAAGAGGAAAAATCCTAGTCAAGGTCTGAAATATTTTACACTTCATTTGTGTAGACTATACAAGTTTGTTTCTAATGTCAAAACACTTTGATCAACATAGTTAGAAATCCGGATAAACATCACTTTCTTAGGGAGTGTTTGCATGGGCAAGTTATCCCGGCTAGGTGAGGTGAAAACTGCATATAATGAAAGACTAATCAGGTTAAGCCTCTGATGTGATGCGCTTTTCACCTCACCTAGCCGGGATAACTCACTCCATGTCAACAGGCTTTTAAGATTAAGCGGTTCGTGATAACTCAACAGTCGTGAACAGAAAGTTGATCTCGATGAAATATCTCTTCATTGGAATCGCCTTACATAGGATAAGGCGAAATGTGTGCCAAGTAAAATTTTGTTCAGTTTTTCCCGAAATGAGACTAGAACTCAGTCCAGAAATGCATGCAGTGCCCTTAGTAGCAAATGTTTTTATGTCCCAGAACAAAAAGATCGCGGAGGATTGTGGGGAAGGGTATGTTTCGGCCGAGGAAGAGGAGGAGGAATTTGATGGAAATATCACAATAAACGGTGAACAGAATATCAAGAATTTATCTTTGAAGAAATCTATCAAGAAATTACCCAGTAATGGAAAAGTAAGTTGCTTGATTTTGTCATTAAGCGGAAGCAAAACGATATAGTAATATAATTTATGTCATTTATAGGTGGTTTAATTAGAGTTGATTAAGAACGTTTTGTTGATAAAAATCTATTAAGATGTTCGTGTCAACGATAGTCTGTATATATGAATGAAACTGTTGAAACTAGCTTTCCAAGATTTCGTCTTATTTTTCAAGGACGATAACAAGACAGCAAAGAAAACAATCAAATTATCGAAAGAATTGTCCGACCTGGTCACGTATTGCACGTCCGTCAGATTTGAAAGTTTTGCAAACTCCGCTGAAAATCGTAAGTGTAAAACCGTACTGCATTGGCTACGAGTTGTCTATTGATGATATAATTATAATAAAGTCGCCAGGTTCATGAAAATTCCGCTGTCGTTTCCTCATAATGACGTCATGCAAGCTCGAAAAGTCTTATGAGTTATGTTACGCGAAGTTAAAATTACCTTTTCCATCTTAAAACATTTTGATTTCTGAGGGCAAGCTCTCTGAGTTCGTTAATTTGAATTAAAACCCTCCAGGAAAACCCTGCGCTCTCTATATTCGTAGTACTTATTTCACGAATTTCATTTCGATTCAATATTTAATGTAGAAAAATACTGGGAGATGAGCTCGTTGGGAGAAACAACAGCTAAGAAGCAGATAACAGCGTATCCTGAAGAGTTTGTGAATCATAACAAGGCCTTTCTTACTCGCGTTTACCCCTCAGGGAAGAGAGTTGACTCCAGTAACTATAACCCTGTCGAGATGTGGAACTACGGTTGTCAAATGGGTAAGATTACAAGTACATGCATGTATGAGAAACGGAAGTAGAGTAAATATAGAAGAAAACAAAAAGAGGTTTAGAGGTTAGGGAAGGAAGGAATCTCGTTTTTTTATTTAAATATGTATAGCCCAACCTGTTTAATGTTGTCACAATAATGTTATTTATGCGAGGCAACCATGTTTGATAGACGGAATAAGAGCTAGAGTTGATTATTTTCTTCTTGCTGATTTGCAGTTGCTTTAAATTATCAAACTGGCGGACTTGCGATGGATCTTAACACGGCGAAATTTAATAATAACGGTCGATGTGGATATATACTAAAACCTGCTGTCATGAGAGAAAGTAAGAATAATTTTGTTTTTATTCATTTGCCCAAGATTGGGGTCGGTAATCAAATTTTATTCACTCTCGACTATACCCGCTTTTTATACTCTGACAACGTTAAGGACAAAGCTCTTTGATTATTTCGAACAGAATTCGAAATTCTTTCGAGCCTTGTTCACACTAGCTCCTAAGAACTGGGAATCCATGAGTTGTACTGATGGATATGTTCCGATAGACAAAGTATTTTGAGCACTAGTAACCTCAGACAAAGGATATAGCCCAGATTTTTAGGAAAAGTATATATAGTATATATAGGATTCAGTATAACCCATTGGCAGATTATTTTGCAGTTTTCCGTTTGAGATAAATATCATCATGTGGTGTTTCATTCATAGAAATAGCATATTTCAATCCTTCGTGCAAAGACGCCATAGCTGGAGTTACACCTCAAATACTCAGAATAAAGGTAAATCTCAAACAATTCATGTCGCCCATGGTAAATGGTGCGTATCGCGTCCCTTATGCAGTACATTGAGTCGATGCTTTGAAAAACCCAGGACTTATTTGCGAAGGAAAATATATTCTATAATTATTTCTTCCAGATAATCAGTGGCCAGCAATTTCCTAAACCCAAGATGTCTGGCACGAAAGGAGAGGTATTGATGTGATTTATATGCTTTCAATTTGCCAATCACAGAGTTTTGCCTTCCAGCCATTTCTGCCTAATGAAAACTCTGTATATTTCTTGCTATGAAGTGAAAAAGATTTGATTGTAAAGCTTGATAATTGCTTTTTCTAACCACCTAAAAATTACATCATTAAAATCTGTACGAATAAGAAAAAATAGGCGGAGAAAATACTGCACTTTATACTGGCTGTATAGACTCCCTGTACTTAAAGCAATATCTTAGGCAATTCGTTTTTGGTCATCTAGGTGATCGATCCTTTTGTGTCAGTGTCTGTGTATGGCATACCAGCTGATACGGTTCAGGAAAAGACGAGAACTATCACCAATAATGGTAAGATTGCAACAACACAGCTATTCAAGTAGGACTAACGTACTTAGGATTATCGATGCTGCCGACAACTATATATAGAAAAAAGAATATGAAACTGAAATCAAATCTTGTATGCTCACATGGCCTAGCACATGTAAGATATTTAGGTTTTTGTTATAAATTTCACTGAAGAATGCCTTAAGAAAACAAAACCTGCACCCACCAATGAAGGAACAATATTAGTCAGTTTAGTTCCTGTTGCAATCTCCTCATAGTAACCAGTGCTTGGAATTTCGACCTTGACGCCGAATGACAGGCGAAAATATTGTAGGTAAAATGACGTGAATGGTGAGTTTTCGACCAGAATTTCCCCACGAAGGAAAGGATAATTCGCTAACTAGAAACGAATCTTTCAATGCTCATTCTTTCTGAACTTTTACCTTTTATAGGTTTCAATCCGGTGTTCGACGAAACATTTGAATTTCATATCAACCTTCCTGAGTTAGCCTTGGTCAGATTTGTCGTTCTTGATGATGATTTTATCGGTGATGCTTTTATTGGGCAATATACGATACCCTTTGTTTGCATGCAACAAGGTAATCTTAGATACGACATTCGTCGGGTAGATTCAAATTTTTATGATAGGGAATAATATCACAAAATTATACCAATATAAAACCACTAAAACTAAAACTTCACTCTATTCTTTGATCATTCTACTACATCTCAGTTAGTCTTTCAGTCATTCAAATCCCCGTAATTTGTCCCAAAGATTGCTCAACAGTTCTTTTGGCTATTATGCTTAGCCATCAGTAGCAAGGACTGAGCATTATGCATCCGTTTGCAGGATATCGACATATTAGATTGCAAAACTCGCTTGGGGAACCTATGTACTCCGTCACGCTGTTTATTCACGTGACCATAACTGGGGAGGAGGAGACTGGGGTGAGTACAACGTACCATCGGTAGTGAATGTGCCAGTACTAGTACTGTTTGATTACGCTCAATGTACAGTATATGTGATAAGGGAACACGTGACAACAGAACTGACCAATAAACAGTCATGAATAACTTTCTGTGATACAATTTTACTAATTGCAACTCGGCGTTCGTTTAGAAAATAAAACGGTCGTCGTTGAAGCGATCGAAGAAAGGAAGAGATGTAAGAGATGGATTTACTATAAGAAGCACGAAAGGGAGGTGTCTTTGACATGCAATGTGATTCTCGAGTGATCCCCCTACACGCGCCCCTCTTCCCTACATGGTTAATACTGCCATAGCCATACTTCCCCATAAGTACTTCCGCTAATGCAAGTTATATAATAAACAAATAGTAATAAAGGTGGAGTGAAACATGAGCCATGTTTAAGTTTGATCCCCAAGTTGCTGAAAGAGATTAGTTCGATAATAGCGTGGTTAAAATGACTCATATTCTTCAATATTTTTACAGTACACTCGGCTTAGAACTGTTGGAGTGCCTACGGTCGATGAGACGTTTAAGGTATAAATTTATTACATCCATGCATGCGTACGTTTTTTTAGCAATATGTTTTTGACTTGCATTTACAGTTTTGACCTTGAACGTAATGAGACTAGATCATTGGGAATAGACTGTTTGCGAAGGCCATCGCTTTGATTAAACGTGACTCTTTGGTAGATGCAGCAGTGTAAACGTAAAAAATACATTCGATTCAAACCCCAAAGTATTCAAATATCGGAGACAGAGAAAATAGTTCTCATTGCATTTTAGACGGCAATTCAACCCATACGAGATGGTACAGACCTACGGGAAAACGTTCAGAATGCTTTAGGGGCATTGAAGGTATAGACACTGATTGCTGGCCTGTTAAGGAGAATTGTTTTGTTTCAGTTTGAACGGAGTTTTCTCTTTCTATACTTCTTGTAAATACCAAATGCATAATATCTTTCGAAGTTTAGAATTTCATTATAAAGTTCTGGGGTTTTTTTTCAAGGAAACCTGCGGTGTTGCTCCGAGGTCAAATATAAAACAGTGTCTAAGATTACTGGCATCCAGACTCGAGGCTTCGTCACAAACGGTCAACTTAACACTTACTATGGATGATCAGGTTTGTGTGCCGGAGTGGATGTGGTGCGTTTAGTTTGAAATTGTGGGGTGGTATAGGGTATATTTATGGTATATGGTGTAGTGTGAGGTGGTGTTGGGTGTGGTGAAGTATATGAATGAGTTATAGAATAGCATTAATATAGGGTATGGTTAGTGTAATATTGTAATGGTATATAACACATATAATATGACTCGATAAAAAGTATAAGGATTTTTTTCCTTATTTTTCCTTACTCTTCCTATTTTAGTATCCATGTTTCGACTGTGATGGCGAAATGCCGGAGATTCTTAAGAAGGCGATGTCAGCTTTAGAAAACGTACGGTGTTTATTTCTTCGACTACTCTACCGGGAATGTGGTTGTAAGAAATGTTTGAATAGAGAAAGCAAACCCACTAATAGTCTATGTCTGTCCTGTATTAACACAAACACACATAAATACGTCTATCATGGGAATAATGTAGTTATATTCCCGTCAAAGTTGACCAAACCATAATGATAGATTAAACAGCGTCCATATTCCCAAACACAGTTATCCAGAGCGAATTAGTTTAAACCTAGAAATTCATTATGTGTTTTCGTTTTGAAGGTGACACAGGAATCAAGGAATCTAATTCAACGTTGCGATTCTGTTCACGAAAGAGTAAGTGTTGCAAACTATGAATATCATTCCAAACGTACTTTCTTCGACCATTTTTCAGTCAGTATCTTTGCGAAGTCTGAAGAATTGTAACCCAAACGGTTATTCTTGAGAATCAAAACAAGTATATCAATCTGTTTTGATGATTCCAAGCAGATATCTCACTGGTCGAGGTGAAAATTTGACTGGCTGAAATTAGCCCAATTTGAAATGAACAGTCGTATATCAAAAACACTTTTATACCTGAGTACATCGGCTCTTGACGTGCCGGACCAATCAAATGCGATACGTCTATATAAGCTATCAGATTAACCCAGGTACCGCGGAGCATATCAGAGGATGGTGAGAGGGGAAGGCTAAGTGTTAGCCAGTCATTGTCTTAATACTTTTGGCCGCCAAAGCCCCCCCTAGTCCCCCTGTCTATGCGGTTCATGGATTAACCAATCACGAGCGCAATCAGTATGAGGCAGCAGTAACGGAAGCCAAATCTAAACCTCCCTGTTGACTTGCGCTGTCTCGGCTCCACTGAACTTTTTTGATCAATTGTTTAGATAATCCAGTGTGAAAGAGCTGGTATGGAATGGCATGTAAGTGCTGGTTTAATATACTGTATAGTTTCTCTTAACGTCAATATAATACTCTCTTTGCCCCTCTCTTTCTTTGCGATTTCCAGGAGGATTTTCAAAACGTTTGTGTAAAGGAGGGAATAAAAGATAAAAGACTATCAAAGGTTTGCAATTATTCCTTGTTTCACAAACGTAAAAAATAGAACAGTAACGCTTAGCACATCAACTACCCACAAACACTAGGGTCTAGTTTATGCATACGTCTTATTTTGGTCGCGTCGAATTAATGCAATTTCAAACAACAGATGATGGAATGATAAACCTCATTAATTTAGCCTCGTCATCTTGTCTATTTGAATTGCATTCGATGCGACCGAAATGCAACGTAATAACAAGGTCTGACTATTCAACCGTGTCGTACACAAAGGACGTCGGGACATCTTCGTTCCCAGGTTTTCCGCGCAATGCCTTTCCCTGCAAATTCCTGTCCGTGATAGCCCAGAGCCATTTCAAATTTGGATTCTTGCGACTGTCATTTTAAGCTGGAAAATGTCTTAAATAATTATTTTCTTAATACCTCAAACATTTTTTTGTTTCACATAAGGCTCAAGAAAATTTTGCTTGGAATATCAGGGTTATCAAAGGCCAGGGGGACTTACTGCTTTCTGCGAGACAGGAGTGTTCGGAATATCTCAGACAGGTGAGTGGATATGTGTTAGTTTGCGGATTGTGTAACAACTTGCATGCATGGACGAGAATTGTTTCAGATAGATAATGAAAACAGTTGATATAACGTTAGTCTAAACTTTACTTGTTATAATGCACTATTAAGAATTTAATTACTACATGATTTAATAACTACATATTTAATTACTAAATTTGAACAGCCGAGTTGAACAAGTTCAGGCGGACCAATTTCATTCTAATTGTTTTCATGTAACAAGGATTTCGTCCATTTTAGATACCCGAGGCGGCGGTAGCATCTGGTCTTGTATCAAACGTTATTGAAGATTCCAAGCAATCTTGAACGATGAGGTAACGACAGGTTCAACAACAATACTGTGTCGCCATCATGTTGCCATATTGCGTGTCCAACAAGTTGTAAAACTGGGGTATTTATGAACTCATAAAATTTGGCACGATTTAAGAATCTCTATAATACTCCCATGTATATTATCCCACATAGTTTTTCCTCTGTGCGAATTTCTTCGCACAAAGCGACGCTAAGGCGATCGCTTTGCCTGTCTAATTCGCCTATTGGAGAGCAGGCTTATCTTACTTGGAAATCACAGTATCTGTTGTAGAATTGTAGTGTTTGTAAGAACCAGTGGCGTAGCCAGTACGATAATTGGGGGGCCATATTCATATATTCGTGATACGCAGGATTAATTTCTTTTCAAATCAATTGTCTTTACAGTCTGTTAACATGAATATATTAATATGCCCCCCCCCCCCCCCCCCGCAATTATCGATGCTGGCAACGCCACTGGTAAGAACTGCTAGAACAACGAAATACTTGTTCAGGAGAATATTGATCACAGTCGGACAAATGCTGCCAGGTTCGTGCGAGTGAGAATGGGCACTAGTAAAGCTTGTTGTGATAATCTTTGCGAACTAAACTGATTTTTGCAAGTTTTAATAAGCTCTATATAATGTCCAATTTGCGTCCATATAATTTTCCCAAAATTTTCCCGCTTTTTTCAAAATGTGTTTCATATATTTTTAAGTTATCTGTGCAGCTTGAAACACTTAGCTTGGTCTCTATAACTTGTCTTTCTAAACAACAACCCCCGGGCAAAAACCAACCCAGACCTATTCCTCTGTTCGATTGGGACACGGCTGTGGCGGGTGTTCGACTGCCGCCATGCTTGTTTTCACATTTTGCGCATCAACGGCTTCAACGCGCCTACTCTTCCTTTAGAGGAAACGTTTGTGGGGCATATTCAAAATACCGGGGGAGAAACAAAAAAAATTAATTCACCTCTGCTCGTCTCACTCTTACGGCCGAGCGAAAATGCGAGTTTTTCCTCGCCGAGTGAAATGATGAAGTGTTTAACTTCAACACTTTAATTTCATATCGTTGATATTCGATTAATAATATTAAATGGAATTGTCAAATATTATGTATTATAAAAAATTATTTATCTCAAAGTCATATGCGAGCACTTAAATATTGTATTATTTAAATAGCATTTTAAAGAAAATGAAAAATAAATTTGAATTAAAACTAAAGGTGATGTACGGAATGTAAAACAATCGGATTGTTTACTATCTGAATTGGTATGTACTTTTAAAGTTATGTCCATTCGCGCATAATTATTGGTTTGCAAACCCGACTCGCCATTCCCTTCAAAGTTGCATGTACACTGAGAATGCTCAACACCAATTTGGTTTCCTTCACTTCTAAATGAATATGATCTAGCCAAATCCGAAAGGAATGAATAACAACCAGGCATGCGTATCAAGAATCAAGATAGGAAAAAAATAGAACGAATACTGCTGTGGTCTTGAGTACAAGAATATTTTCTACGATTTCAATTAATATTTTCTACGGAGTTCTCTACGATTATACCATCGTAATTTGAAGGTACTTTATAATACTATGTGTTTGTAACGGGTACATTTTTAATAGATTGATTATTCTCCAATGGATCAACATTTCAGGTAGTCAAAGGTATCAAAATATTGATGTTTTGGGATAATTTTTTTTTTCTTTTTGAAAGATGAAAGTAGAATTTATTCACATTATTAGTACTAGGGAAATTTACAATAATCAATCATGCATTAAAACTAAGTATAATAGTTCTACAGACTATTTACAAACTTTTTTTGGGATAAATTGGCCAAAACTGATAGACTCGGGACAAGTATGTTTCATAAACGAAGATGGAATAGACTCATCCTCGTGTCAGCTATAGCTTTTTCGCATCTCTATGGCTTCACTCACACAAATTATGAATTCGTCAAAGAATTGCAAATCTAAATATTTCTCACATAACGTGTACAACGCATCTACCACCACCTCGTGCTTATAACTGTTGGCTTTTGCGACGTTTCTTGCTTCTTTTAAATGTTCCAAAGCATCGTCCTGATCGCCATGATTTTCGCAAATCGTACTCAGTACAAAAAGATTACACACGGCACGAAAGCATTTATTTCCGTTGGTTATCGGCATTTCTTTGTAGATTTTAGCAGCTTTGGTTAGCTTTCTCTTCAATTGAGCGAATTCTTCCATTTGGTCACCAGACCAAGCAAATTCTGAATAGGTGAGTGCTGAAGTGAATCTCAAAACGCTCTTATTGGCGTTATTTTCCTCGTACATTTCCGAGTATATGGCGAGAGTATCTTCGAGGCACTTTTGCGCTTCGGGTAATCTACCAAGCTCGTTATAAATTCCTCCCATGCTTTTAAGTGTTAATGCAGCGAGCATGCGAGCACTTGTAGATCCAGAGATTTTATCTGTCGCCTCTTTCGCTTCAATGGAATACTTCAAGGATTCCGCCAACCTTCCGTCTCGTTTCAACGCATCCGCAAGACTATATAAAATCTTTGCGACTAGAAAATGGGACCCACGCAGAAAGGAGGTCTTCGCCTGTTCTAGAGCATTTTCTAGGTACCCGATGGCTTTATTGGTTTCGCCTATCTGAAGGTGTAATCTTCCCAAATTCATTAAACATTCTATTTTATCTAGAAGGTAGAAGAGACGTTTAATTAGGAACTGATATTCTCATATTCTTACGCATGTGAGGGAGTTGTGCAAACGTTGACTTAGGGAAAGAGCGAGAGGGCACGAAATATCCCAAAGTTCCCTGTTTGATTTACACTTCCACGAAAGATACACGAACCCTTTCCCGGTGAAAAATGAAATGAAGTGTTGTCAAAATATTTGAGTCAGAGTTAATCGTACTTGATCAAATCTTCAAGTGATCTGAAATGGCGGGAAAGGACTGGGACTAGCTGTCAAGTAAAAATCCGCATCTCAGTTGAAGAAACCTGATAACTCTTGAAATATACTTTATTTCGGTTTAAAGGTATGGTCTGAGGTAAAGTTCTTATTACAAAACATAATCACAAAATTTTGACTATGAAATTTTGATATTTGCCCTCTTCTTTATCTAAAAGATGTGTGAGTTAGTACAGTTAACTTATTTTATTTACTACCTTACTATACCTGGGTGGGGATTGTCACCAACTGTAAAATTAAACATTTTTAAACTTTTTTCGTAGTAAGATAAAGCCTCATCCACTCGACAGCAACGTTCATAAACCATAGCTATACTCTGGCATGTTGCGGCGAAACAAAGACTAGGGTTTTCGTTTCCATAAAACTTGTTGGCAAGATTTAACGCTTCCTCTGCGTATTGCAGTGCCTGCGAACAATCTTTTTTACCAATAGTGAACGATAGAGCCAGGAGAACTTTAATATCAAACAATTCCCCATCAAAAGCGCCACCAGCAAGCATCGATTCCAAGTATTCAAATGTTTGGCTGGCTAACTCATATTTGCCAAGTTCGCTATAAACCACACCGAGCTGACGCATCAATCGACGTAGTTCGGGTTTCCGAGATCCTTGCCCGTATATTTCATTGTGTTTACATATTGCTTCTTTTAAAATGCTTAAGGCCTTTTTATATTCACCATTTAGATTCAGTGCTTCTGCTAAATCACTCGTGATGACCGACAGACCGGCAATGAATTTCTCATCGTTCTGGTGTGTTAAGCCACTATAGGCCTTCAGTGCTTCTTCAAAACATTCAATGCACTTTTCGTATTCGTGATAAGTGCTGTAAATAAGACCTAGTCCGTAATGAGTGTTCATATATTCCGCACTTTCAGTCCTATCTTTGGATAAAGGTTCCAACAACTCGAACGCTTTCGGATAATTTTCCAGTATAATATAAAGATGTCCTATTATACATCTTTTTGTAGGTTGGGTTAACGTGGGTACATTCCGAAGTAAGTCGATTTCATTTGTCTTTTTATACGTCTCGTAGAACTCGGTACACCGTTCATATATATCCACACTGGTAATTAGAAGACGTGCTGCGTCATCTTCATCAAAATCTTGGTAGAAGTGGGAATTAGTAGGGTAATGCTTTGCAGTGTTCGAGTATCGTGGAACAGATGAAAGTACTTCTTTCTGTCGACTGCTGGCAAGGTACGTTTTCAAACGGATTTCGTTTGCAATTGATAGACAAACTTTGATGTTCATCATGTCTGTCTCGTCGATGATTCCCCGAGTCTGCAACTCTGAGATGACCTGCCATGGTGTGGGTGATCTGATGTTGAATATCAACGCTAGATCTGAGAGTAGTAACGAGATTAGACGGTAGAAGTCTTTCTTTGCGTTGAAAGCACAGCTAGGTCCAAAAAATGTCTTCAACGGAAAAAATGTGTCGATGTCCTTAGACAGTTGTTGAATTCCTCTCTTCCTACCGACTGTTGAATTCGATCTCGCCACGGCTGGCGACGAAATTGCATTTAATTTGTCAGCCACATGTTTATTGTACTCGTCTACCAGAGCTCGGTCGCCATAAAGAAGCGAAACTCTGACCATAATATCAGCTAAATAGAGATAAATGCGAAGGCAATTTAGGCAATAATAATAAACTCTACCAGCAAACAATCAATTCTGTGTACAGTGTAGATTTCACATAACTTTTTCCAGATCAATCTAAAGTTGATTTGGCGGAACTCGTTACGAACGTGCGAAGTTCAAATGTGATGTACATGAAATTTATACAAATAGGTTTCTAAACTTGAAAGGAGTCGGCAACGGATGCGTAAATTTCGGAATCAACTTGGCAAAAGCTACATATGTGAAATCGATTTTAACTGTATCCATTTATCGTATCCATATAATAATTACCTAAATGATATCCTTCTTTTACCGCAGTTTCTTCATCTTGTAATTCAGCCATTTTCTGAGGTGTTCTGATCAACTCTAATGCAGGCTTATTCTTCGTTGCCTTTCTCCCTAGCGGGGTTTTGGAAGCCCATGGCATTGCGCCATCAAACGAAATTCCCCGAGGCGTTTCCGAATCAAAGAACCAGTTTCGTTTGGGATCCTCAAAATTGTTGAGCTCTTCAATTCCCAAAGCTGGAAGGATAGTTTCCCCAAGATTGATAACTTTTAAATGAAGAAAGTAGCTCAGGACACGGAAGTAGTTGATTTTGTCCGCTATGCCAGGGTCTGAGTATAGAATGGCAAACTCCAGATCTGAATAAGGAGTTGCTTCCATACGAGCCACCGATCCCAGGGCAATGATGGCGAAGTTACAGGGTGGTTGACCAAGTTTACTTACGCATTCTTTGGTTAACATTGACACAAGTCTGATATACATATTTTGAATGTCTCGAAAAACGTCGTGCATCTGATCTGCATGGATCTTAAATATAATGTGAACAGCCTCATCAGGAAATTTTGGAAAACTAATTTGGTAATCTAAAAATTGACCACCTCCGGTAACAAGGAGTGTATTTGATGAAGTATTATAAATTCAGGCATTCTAATTGGCTAGTGTACATACGTAGTGTTCCGCACGTGACCAGCCCAGGTTGTACGAAAGCTTTATAGCGCAAACCACCGGATATAGTGACTTTTTCAATTGCTTTTTCAAGTGCCCGTTCTTTCGGTATCAAGATGAACCTATAGTATTCTAAAATTGGAGGCTCGCTTTAACAAATACTTCCTCCAAATCGGTAATTTTATTGCTTTTCAACCATCTTCACAACAGTTAAAGAATCACTATTCGGTGGATAGCGCTAAGTATCTAGCCTTCGTACAGTCGGCCCCATAATCATTTAACACTTCAGTTTTGTGCCTGCACAATTTACTAACAACCCTGATAGTTTTTAAATACCTCATAGTGATCTTCAGTTTTTTTATCTCCATTAGAACGTGAATCGATTTCTTTAACGCGCTCTTTAATGATCCTTCTTTCATTGGCTAGAAACTTCTTATGAGAATCGATTTCATTACGAATCTCGTCTACGCTGACTTTCAATTCGTTGGGGAGCGCATACAAAAATTCTTGATAGGTCTCGACAATTCTTGTGAGTATTATTTGTTCTTCGCCTATTTCATGATTTGCAAGCCTCGATCTGACAAGGGCTGCGTTGTAAAGTGCGTCAGCCTTTGTAAAATCAGCACCATTTGCAGTTGTCTTTGCTTTTTTCAAGTACCATTCGCCAAGCCCGAGAAGTGCCGGTACTTGCTTTGACAGATCGGTTCCAGCCACCTTTAGTTGCTCAGCAAAGTCTGAAGCAGGATGAATTTTCTCATCCATGTTGAAAACCAGTGTTTATAAACTTACTGTACTGTCGGCACTTTCCTAGAATTACAAAGCGATTTAGTTGGCATGCACTCAAAACGGGTCTATATGCAAATATTCGCGAAATGTATTTATATTAATTATTAATATACGTCGTTTCGTCTCGATTATTATAAAAATCCACAGGAGTCACATGACATAGAAAGCAATGTAATATAACAACGTTTTCCCTTCACAAGAACTAGATGAAAAATTTCAGCAAACCTTGAGATTTCAAGAGTTTTGTAAGGGGTACAATAATAATACTCATCATGCATGCGATATGTTACCAGGGCCAATTTCGTAGACATATATACTAGCTAATCGTTTATTTCCGCCATATTCCGTCTATGCGTAGACTAATCGTTTATCTTTTTGTTGACATGTAGTCGTTTCAGACTGCTCGACAATTGAAAGGAATAAGCGACGTTAAAACTCATCAAATCTACTACTATTACTAAACTATATTTAGTGATAAACTGTCTGTCGTTCATCCACACAGTTTCACTACAGAAATAAAAGTTATGGTTATCACTACAGGAATAAAATCACATTTTTTGTCGTAGATTCGATACATCTTAAGCTCGCTACCGAGTTATAATCTCCTGACTAGTGTTGCAACAAGACAACAACACATACCGGTTAGACAGACGATGCAATGGTACAGCACATGTAAACCGAAACCAAATATGGCTAAGATGAGACTTGACGCTTTCAATCAGCAAACTTTGAAGACTTTGAAGTAATTTATAATTATGTTAATAAGGAAGCGATATTGCGGATGGGTCGGCAAATGAAATGACTCATTTGCGAGACTGTTTCATAGAACTCCATCAACAATGCCAACGTGAACTTGGCTCTCCAACGAGTCAACCATCCTGTATATGAAATTGAAATTCGAAACTACTATTGTACATGAAAATGAAATTCGAAACTATAGCTAGGTCGTCACTCGCTTGTTTCCAGCAACCGAACTGACATGACGTCATTTTCCATCTTCCATCCGCCATTTTCCATCGTTGGGTGTGTCTGGTGTTCGCAACTAATTACTATGGAACCTACACGTTCATACAACTCAGAATAAATTGCCCAGCAATATGGAAACAATAGATTTTAGCGTTACTCAAAGGAAAAGAAGACTTCTTGACTACTGGCCCCCTTAAACAACGGAAGAAAACACTAATCCTTCATCTCATCTCAAGACAGAAGCCTGTAGTCGAGAGTAGTCAGGAATTGTCGTCTGAGCATAATCCATTGGAAAGTTGGAGCATGAGAACATAGACAATTCAAAAGACAAAAGAAAATGATAAAAATGAGTTGAAGCAAGTCAAGGCAAAGTACTAGATAACTAGATGTATATAGTTTCAAACATTGGAACGGAATCGCTTTGTTAATCGATACCTTCGTACCTTGATACCTTTAAGAATCGATACCTCATTCATTATTCATACCTTCGTACCTTGATACTTTTAAGCCAAAAGTAATCGGTAACGAAACTGGTGAAAAAGACCTAAAAATGTATTGCCCAGGCTCAAAATCGAGCACGAGATAAAGCGTTTCGATTGGCATTTGGAATTGCGAAGTGGCGTCAGTTCTGGTCAGCAGTACACCAACAAAAATTAATGGCATGCAGTCTGTCTAGCGCAACTGCGTCTTGAAAATAAAGTACGACGTTTGCTTTCTTTTTGGAAAAAGTTCATTAATTTATGAGATATTCTAAGCTTTTATTGTTCCATAGTGCAATCTAATTCGACTCCTTCACTGTTCGGAGCAAATCCATCCAGTTCTGGTGAGAGAAATTTAGTTTATGGCTTTTATTTATATGCATCTTAGTAGTGCTAAAATTTGTCAAAGTATTATTCCGATTAAAATTTGCATTATACGTTTTTTACATGTTCATATGCAGTTCAAATACACACATATAAGTACCAGCAATTATGGTAAATATTTCTATTAACTTTGTTTTACTTTTCTTGTCCTGGTAACCAGTCAATTTAACTTGATTTTGCACCAATAGCATGATATTATATTTGTGACAAAGAACCAACCGAATAAGTGTATATTTTTGTACTGAAAAGTAAAGATCATCTTGATAGAAACCATCTTTGTTTATTCGCATTTATTCACGAAAATTATAATTATCTTTGCTGATATTGCACAAGATTAAATGATGTCTCTGGTAACGTCTCTGATAACATCTCTAGTAGGATTGAAGACTAAATAATAGAACCATTCAACATTTCATACTTCTAGAACCATTCAAAATTACAGCATACTTCATTTAGTGTTTTACATTCAATAAACTCTTGAGCAAATTTTGCTACCCTGGATATATCGGGCTCCAGGCTGGTTACAATAGCATACAGAAGGTGCACTAAACTAGTGCCTATACAACATTGTTTGATGCACAACATCAAGTGTATGTTTTCCATTATGCCTGAATTATGATATTCTTAGGATGGATTCCTTGTGAGATATTTTATATTTCAGCAGTGTATATATTGGTGTAATGCACCAGTCAAAGTAAACCCCCGCCTACCCCAGGCCGGGGACTACCGGGGACTTGGATGAAGAAGCTGGCAAAAAGTGTTGTACTCCTCGCCCCCCGAGAACAATTTGACAGGAAAATCCCCCGCTCTTATTGACTTGTTGATAGGAAAATCCCTCGCTCATGCTCTTCAATAGAACTCTTAATATAAATTCAATAAATTTACATAATCAGGATGACTCATTTAAATCACAGATTAGCATGGATTCAAATTACATTAGATCTTACCTGACAACCTGATGAAACCGCCATCTTGGAAATGTGAAACGATTTTAGTTCCCAGTCTTCTCTATTGCGTATTTGCGCGTGCCCCGGTCATTCCCTGGTCACACAAGCGGAGCAAGCGAAAACAGCGTTTTCCCCCGCACCCCAGTGACGTTTAAGTTTGCTTAAACAAGAAAATGCCTTCGCAAGTCCCCGGTAGTCCCCGGCCTGGGGTAGGCGGGGGTTTACTTTGACTGGTGCATAACTCTGATAGATGCATTTGAACTTGACCATCATTTTGTATTGCAAGATGTGAATTGTGAATTTTGCATGAAGGCATGACTAACAAGCAAGTATTTAGGCCAAAAGATCAAAGCTGAAGTCATTTCCCACATGTCATTACAAAGCAGAGATTTGCCTATGAGTATAAATAAACAAATCTTTAAAATTTGTTGGCAATTTAGTAAAACTAGACAATTTTCAGAATGGCAATGCAATCAGAACTACATGACAGTACATGTGATGATTCCTAGTCTAAATTATATATATATTCATATAGCAACTTCAACTCAAGCAAGCAGTGGATTTAATGTTGGTTCAGGCACAATGAACCCAACTTCTGGTTTCAATTTTGGCACACCTGCATCTGCAGCAAAACCTGGCTTTTCATTTAGCACCCCATCAACCAACACCTCAGCCACGCCACTATTTGGCACTCCTACAACCAATCCCCCACCATATGGAGCACAAACCACCCCCACCATGGGTGCAAGCATCTTCGGAAGTGCAGGGAAGGCTACAACAACAACTGGTCTTCAATTTGGAGCAAGCAGCATGACCACCCCTAATACAGGCTTATTTGGCAGCACACAGCAAAGCGGTTTGTTTGGTTCTGTGGCACAAACAACACAGAATGCAGGAGGCTTAGCACAACAAACAGGACAAAAAACTAGCTTATTTAGTAGCACAACAACCCCTGCTAGTCAACCAGGGGCAATTTCACTATTCAGTGGAACAATGGCACCAAATACTGGCATGCCTCAAACTGGTTCAACTACATTGTTTGGAGGTGTTGCACCTGCTACCCAGCCTTCATTTAGTTTTGGAAGTCAAACACAAGTTAAGCCTGGTGTAACAGGTTTTGCTGTGCCTGCACAGACAACCCAAGCAAGTACAACAGTTGGCTCAGTCTCTTTTGGCTCAGCTGCTACAAGTTTGGGAAGCAAGCCTTTGAATTTTGGTACCCAAGAAACTGGTGCTGTAACAAAACCTGGGTTTTCTTTTGGGACACAATCCACACCAGCACCTGGTGGTACTGCTCTAGGCACAGCTCAAACAACAGGGATTTCTTTTGCCGCAACAACTCCTGCAACAGGACCAGGTACCACAACAACCCTAGCTAAGGCAGGAGGTGGATTTACACTGGGTGGCACACCAGCAGCTACCAGCCAAATGACCAATACTGGTGGTACCACAGGGACTGTGACCCAAATGCCTGGGACTGGTTTCAAATTAGGGAGCACGCCAGGACCCACTATAACCCAGCCTGGCTCAAAGCCTGGAGGAGCACCACCCACAACACAAGCCACTTCTGGCTTTTCATTCGGTACAACCCCGGCAAGCACACAGTCAGCTTCACAACCTGTGCAAAATTTTTCACTTGGCCAGAGTACAACCGGATTCAATTTCACAGGTCAGCTGGGTGGGCAACAAAAAGCTTCTTCTGCACCTACCACAACAACCGTTGCAAGCACAGTATCAAAACCAAGCATCCTTGGAACTGGTACCAACCTGATATTCGGAGCCAAGGTTAAGCCAACGTTACCAGGTACAACGCCATCGCTGACCACAACAACCAGCACGACGAAACCAACATTTGGCGCTGTGGTTCCGCAAACATCAGCCAGTACAACTAGTACAGGTATGTTGACATCTGATTCTGTTAAAAGGAAATACAAGTAAAAGCTGTCATAACTGAATAGACAACAAAAATATCATTATTATCAATCGCCTCATGTCCTATGATAGTTTGTACAAAAGATTAAAATAGTTTTCGAGGACAAAAACCGGAATTTCAGAAAAAGAATGAAAATCTGTTTTGCTTCGATTTTGGCGCGAGATCATGCTCGACCCAGGCCGCTTTCTTATCCCACAGCTGAACTCAAATGCAACTGGAGTCATAACGCGAGGAATTTCATTCCCAACCGATGTCTTATTGTTTAGTTTTTATTAGTTTTCTTGGTTTTGGTAAAAGTACTTGACAAGAATTAAATATTCCAAGAACTTGTATAGGAATTTGAGCTGACTTTTCCAAGAATATCTTTAAGGATTCAATGATCTATAAATCAAGTATTTTGTGATATTACGATTTTTTTTGTCTGCCGAAAGTATACCAGGTTGTTTATTTTGAACAATCAATGTTTGCTGACGCGAAGCTTCACTGCTTATTTTAGGTTTTCAACTTGGCGGTGGTCTACAAACGGCAAAGACGACTGCATCTGGGCTCAAATTAACAACCACAGCTGCTGTAGGCGCTTCTAGCCTCACTAGTAAACCAGGTAGTTGTGCTTTAATGCTAAATTTCCAACAAATTATCCATAAGTTCAAGAACGAGAGACTAGACTTGATTTTATTTGTTGGCGGGGTAAAGTTTTAACGTATTGCTTGTGATCTTGTATTTCCCCGTCGTACAATATCATTCAAGTATCTCTGTTCTCGTTTTAGCCACCTCTGGTACGGCGACAACAACAACAACAACAAGGTGAATAAGCATGATATCAAAGTAACGTTTTGTTTGAGTCAAGTTTAAAAAATCAAAACGTACCATATTTGATGTGTTGGTTTTTCTTAATAGTACAACCTGATAGTATGAAATGTTTTTAGCTCTCAGAAGTACACCTACAAACAATTGGAGGATCAAGTGAATAAGGTTTGGGCAATGATTTCTATAATGCAATGTGTCTGCAAAAATGGCAAAATTGATAGCTTTTGTAAAATATGTTTTGTCTTAACTTTAACTTTTGAATTCACTGAGGGTACATGTTCCTCCTATAAGCAAGTCATATACTGAGTTTCTATTACGTTTCTACAAGTCGCAACAAACACATGAGTCGAGCGCGCTCGTTCAAGCGGTCAAATTTATAAACCGAAAAATCGACAGATAGGTTTGCAAAAAAAATCGTTTTCAATTTTCATCTTGTTTAGTGGAACATTGAGTTGGAAGATATGGAGAGAGCATTTCTGGAACAGGCAGCCCAAGTTAATGTGGCTGATAGAGAACTTATGGAAAATGGAGAAAAGGTAGAAAAATATTGACGCTTACAATATTGTCCTATTCAACTGCCATTTGCTACTGTAAACAGTTGACTTGTACGTTTTACAAAAGACCGCGTTTGATGTGAGACAAAGCGACTTTTTTTAGAACACTTACTAATTCTGTTTGTTTATTTTGTCTTGAGTTGTGCCGGTTGCAATCTTTGCTGGGAAACATTGTAGTTATTCAGATTTCAGAATACCTAAATAGTTTTCTCTTCAGATTACCCTCTTAAATAATGAAGTTGAAAGGGCCAAAGCGGAACAAAATAGGTATATTAGTATCATTCTTACTTTTGAAATTGTTTTTGTGTTTTCGTTTTTGTTCTGCTGGCTAAGTTCGCTTGACATAAGCAGCAACTTCGGCCACTTATTATTTCGTCTTTTGAAATCCTGCGTGTTGGTCTACTGCCAGTAGATCGACTTTCCTGTTCATCGTAATTCGTAAATCTTTTTTAGGTTGGATCAAGAGCTGGACTTCCTAGTGTCGCAACAAAATGAGTTGGAAGATATGTTGAAACCTCTGGAAGAGTCAGTGAAGCAACACAGTTCTGACCATACCCAAGAACCCGATAGGGAGCGGGAAAAAATGTAAGGAGCGTCGCTACAGAGAAAAGAGCTCTTCACTACCCCCCCCCCCCTTTTATAATGTTTGCTTGAAAACTGATTGTGAAAGTATGAGCCATGGAAACACAATCTGTATTTATATACAGGCAATATATTTACACTTGAATAACTTCCTTTTGCTGACTATCCTGTCTCACAATTCAGAAGAAAGCATGCAAATATTTTGCAAGAGAACTATTTCCGAGATAATGGATATCCAGCCACGATCACGAGAAATCGTGTGATGAGAAATGTATCTGTATACACTTCATTGCATATCCAGTTCTCTTTAAGTATATACAAGTTACAATGGATTGTTGATCCTTTTCAGATACACGATGGCAGAGAAATGCGATGGTCAACTGAAAGGAATGGTTCAAGATCTGAGAGAAATCATCGACTATCTAAATTCCACAAACGCTAACCAACAGCAAGAGGATAACCCGGTAGGTACTGTTCTGAAACTGGAGTGTCAGAGATTTGACAAACCCATTTGGCAGTTTTAGGGGCTGTTTACATGAGCCCGGTTACCCGAGATTCAACGAAGCGTGAGATGATTTTGAGGTATTGAAATGAGCAAATAACATGATCCTGACAGTCATATAATCACCACAACAATAGCATGTGCTTGTTTGGTATCATAAAGACTTATTTCAATACCTCAAAGTCCTCTCACGCTTCGTTGAATCTCGGGTAACAGGACTCATGTAATCAGCCCCTTAGAAGCCAGTTAAAACTATTCAATTTTGTCGGATCCAATTCACTTCTGACGTATATGGAATGTAGTGGGTTATTGTCATATTGACAAAGCAGTACTGCGTTGGCTTTAGTTGATTTGGTGTCCTTATACGTTCAAGTCCACGAACTATAATAAAGCGTGTATCAGCAGAAGTGAATTGGATCTGACGAAATTGGATCGTGCGAGAAAACTTTTAAAGGAAAGAAAGACCCATAGACGTGTTCAAAATTACATAACCTTGACCCTGCAAGAGCCTCCTTTTATTATTTCACAGGTGATTCAAATAGCAAAAATACTTAATGTACACATGGACTCCCTACAATGGATCGATCAAAACTCGGGTAAGTCGAGATAACTTGCTCAGTTCTTGCTGCAAGCAAATGTGAATTCGTCGTATAACGTATTACCTTTCGGTCTTAAAAGCCTTACTTCAAAAGAGAGTTGATGAAATTGCAAGATTGAGCGACATGAGACGGAAAGACCATGAAAGATCTTTCAGATTGGTGAGTACGGAAAGAGTGGGGAATAAGGAAAGGGAAGGAAGAAATGAAGGGGTGGGAAAAGAAGAAAAAAGGGTGGGTGGAAAGAGGAGGAAGAAGAAAAAGTGGGGGAGAAAAAAGAGAGGGTTATGGAAAGGAAAAAAGGGGGGGGAGAAATCTTACATTCTCCAGCACACTAATACATAAACCACAGTAATTTAATCCTTACAGCGGTCTAAAACGCTCGCATGAATTCTTTCTCTTTTGATCGTCTTAGAGAGAAATCTATATTTTCCACCCTTGCAAAGGCGTTTTGTTATGTATATTTGTTTCGCCTTCTTTTTCAGGGTTTTGATTGAAAACAAGCATTGATTGATCCGACTTGTAACATAAACTGTAGGATATTTATGTAGTCCTTTCAACAGATCACTACTTATATAGACAATGACGTAAGCTATCAGCTGTGATGCTCGTTGCTCGCTTCTGCGCCATGCTGTATGTTTCTGTATCTTTATCATATCAGCACTGAATCACTAGTGTTTAGTAAACACTGAACAGTCGATCACTAGCTATCAGGCCTGTTATAAAAAAACAATAATTCCTAATAGTATATACTTTAAAATAAGATTTCCAAAAATAGGGAAGCTTATTTGTGGGTTTCTTCGATTTGAGTGGGAGTCAGCCTCAAATGTCCGATTTTGTTTGTCTCTTGCCCTTGATTTGACTGCGATTTTCGCGGCTTCGTGACGTGATAAACAGATCACTGTCTATTGAAACTTGGTCGATAACTGACCATTATGTGGCATCTTTAAAGCCTTAAGATGGTTAAAATCGTGGCAAGACAAGTTGCATCGAGCGCTGCACAGTTAAATGAAGTTCTGACTTTGTCGAGTGTCGACAAGCCTGATTGGCTAATGAATGTAATCTCGCCATGCCGTTTCAATTTCGTTTCGTTTCAAAGGCAAAGAACAAAAATTTATCGTTGCTTGTAAATTTGGACAAACTATATTGCTAAAGACCTCGCCTATTATAGCTAGTTTCAGTTGAAATAGCCTAATAGGCAATGTTTTATTACGTTCTTTGTATCCACCGCGGTATTTTGTTTATGATTTGACCTATAAACTTGCATCGGAAGGCAACACGGGCTGTGATTGGTTTCATTTGTGTTCGTATCTAATTACAAAAGCGGTAGAAAGCGATGATTGGTCAATAAAGGGAATACTTATAAAATATTCACATCACACCCATTTCAGCTTCATATTTCAATATATTGCCTGTTCCTAGCATATGCGAAGATACTCTGACAAATACCTTTAACTACGAATTCTTTTTGAGATGAAAGCCGCAAGGTAAGTTTCTTACCGTTGAGGAATGTTAAAGATTCTCTGTATTGATTTTTGCTATTCTTGTCATACTTTCTAAGCGTATTTATATGTATATATTGCCCGACACTGCGACGTTCATTCGCATTCGTCATCGAGCAATTCTTTGTCTCGAGCGAAATTTCAACTCGTGACTTCTCGTGTTACAATTTTTGTGGAATACTTCACTTTTATTCGAATTGAGTATTCAATATTGCGTTTATTTTTGAATTTTGTGTGTTTAAGAAGACGCTAGGATTACGATTCACAACCATGTCGAGATGTCTAGACCACACTGCGATGCAACACAACTACGGGATTTAAGACGGTTCTTGAGCTGAGGCTTGAGCCTGTTCAGTTGATTTGACAACAAAGTTTTATCAATTCGAAGAATCAAGCCAAGTAACCTCTAGGGAATACTGTGAAATGTGAATCTTTTTGAAATGATAAATATCCTCACATGTTAATCATCCATGATGGCATACACACGTAAAAACGCACAAGTTGTAACAAGTCTGCAACAGACTTGTAGCAAGCTTGTTCCAACAAGCCGATATCAGGTTGTGTTCGCACCGCTTGTCACGAGCTTGTTGTGACGGACTTGTAGCAAGTTGTTGACAGACTTGTAGCAAGTTTGTTGTGACAATGCTGTAGCAAGGTTGTTGCCAACAAGCTTGCTACAAGTCTGACAACAACTTGCTACAAGCTTGTTGAACTTGAGCTGTTCCAAGCTTGTTATAACAAGGCCGTTACAAGCTTGTCGCGACAAGCTTGCTGCAAACATGGCCGCGCATTAAATCTCGCTTGAAAACACGCGTGTTTTCCCGGAGATTGTGAAACAAAGAACAAACAACACAAAGTTTGATGTAAAAATCATATTATTTTAAAAACAAATTCAAAGGTTAGCAATTAAATACAAACTTCACACTTGAAGTACCAAGATTACTAAAGGCTCAGTACAAGAGCATATGTATTTTCCTTTCTGCATGAGTATACAGCCTAATAATCAGTTCGTAAGAAAAGTTTCTTTGCATTCATATGGTAAAAATTAACTGGTGGCGGTGCATGAGTATTCTTGTATAATACCAGTATTTCAGTCACTTGTTGAATTGACTTCGTCATCCCAAGAATCAACAGCAAATGGTTTGCAAATACGTTGAGGAAACTCCATCCTGTCTGCTGTGGCGAGGGTCTTGCTTGCCATGAATGCCATCCAAGTCTAATGTCAAATAAGTTGTACAAATACTTTTTACCATAATACGTAAATATATATTATTATTTCTAATCAGAGCATGCTAAAAACATACGCACAGATATTAAAAATAGGAAATTTGCACTTTACCGTACACCTTATCGTCATTAAAAATATTTGAATTATTGAATACAAAAAACCGGCGAAGTTTCGATTTTGATAAGTATCCACAGAAACTAACAGTTCAATGTTTATAAAAAGCAATAAATTCAACAAATATTTTAAAAACTTATAGTTTTTAAAATGCTATCTAGTGTACTATAATAAATTGTGTTGCCGGCGTTGTGTACGCCATATCAAATATTTGGATGAATTAAACGCACATACCTTTATTAAAACGTCGAACTGTAGTATTCTTCAAACTTTTTTAAGTTGCCCATCCGTTTTAACTGATATTTCAACGTTTATTAAACTTTTAAAGGCTTAAAAAATCAAAGGTTTTGGCACAAAGATAGCTCAATGACCAGGTGAATCAGTGAACTCTTGAAAAGAGCAGGGAAATTTGCAAATACACTGACGTATATTTCAACCAATAAGATCACTTATACATAGTTTAAACAGAGTCTGAACCAATGAGATTACTCCGTTCAAATCGTCACTTCCTCAACGGTTCAACGGTTGTAGATATCCTTGAAACAAGGAAATGTTCATCTGTAATGTTTTCAAGGAATTCGGATTATTTTCAAATCTTATTATAAAAAGAAGTTATGAACTTCGTTGCAGAGTGTTAAAGTGTTAAATAGCTCGTTGATCTTGCTTTTGCCATTTGATGAATGGCGATGATCAATAAAATCATATTTGGCCCAGTTCAAATTGATTTTGTTGTTATCGGAAAACTTTTGCCGTTAACAATGTCGCTACAACTTGTTGGAACTGTCTTGTTACAGCATTGTCAAGCGCAGCCTTGGTACAAGCTTGTTGTGACAGGCTTGTTACAACTTGATGACTATAACAACTTGTCAACAAGTTGCTCCAACAAGCTTGGTACAGCTTGTTGTCGACAAGCTTGGTACAAGTTGTTCCAACAACTTGCTACAAGTCTGCAAGCCAACAAGTTGTAGCAAGCTTGATGTCAACAAGCTCGCTACAACCTGTTGTCTCAACAAGCTTGTTACAACTTGTCAACAAGCTTGCTACAAGCTTGTTGAGCCAACAAGTTGTCAACAAGATGTGAGATTTTTAGGTGTGTATGCAGCGAAATTATTCAAATTTGCATATAATTATCGAGTAGCCATGAGATATACACGTGTGCAAAATCATTATGCGTTTAGCAAGACGTCCATCATTCCTATGTCGAGGGGCGACGATTCTCTTCCGTCTGTTCCGACTTTTGGGCATTAACGGTCCCTGTTAGCCTGCTCGCAGACTGAATTAGGGGGCCGGAAATTAAAGGGGGAAAATTCACACTTGTCTAGAAGCGAGTGCTCGCATCTGAGGGCTTGACGAGAGACTCTGGCTTTTGCATTCAAGAGCTAGTTGGCCAATCATGGGAATAGTATTTAGGATGTTGATACATCGAAATAGAAGGGAGAAAATGACAGGGAATGATCCAGTATTTTGAGACTTAAATATTTAAATAATTTGAGATCGCTACTAATTCATTTTTCTTCCGAAACGATAATAAATAATTCAATTGTTTCTTAAGGTTATTTAGCAACTGTTGGAGAATATAATTTATTTTCTCACATGCAAAGTTCATCGAAACAAATATGGCCAACAATAATTATCGCGAACCAAACACAAAAAAGAGAGGACGACCTGCAAACAAACTTTCTGTCAGGTTATTTCTGCTTGATCCAGACACCGTGATCACTAAAGTGACCAAAGACACTTGTTCAAAGACTGGGATAGAAGCCTTGATGCAAAGAGGATATGGACCACCTCCAAAAGGTCAGCAAATAGGTTGAATGGATTGAATATGACCATTCCAGAATTTCGTGGAGCCTTTTTTTTACGTAAAGATTGTCAAATAACTAATTTGTAATTGGTTGTCCGCAGATTCATCTATTTTTGATAAATTTTATTTGGTAAAAACAGCTGAAAAATTGGTTGTGTTTAACCATTTTTTAGTTGTTTTAACCATTAATTTTTTTGAATAAATGAATCTGGAGGGAACAAATCTTCCTTTTTAAAGCATTTTTTTCTATGCAAATTTATTCGCCGGAGGTGACGCTGAAAACAAATTCTAGCAATGCGTTTGATTGGTTAAACCATAGACAATCCAAAAGACATTGTCTTTTGGATTGTCTATGGTTAAACGATTTTCGATAGCCAATTACATTGTCGATTTTTTTATCCGCGTGACACAATTTTTTCCTACGGAGAGCAAGCTTGAGGTATAGCTTTTTTCCTTCGTCCAAATCAGCTTGATCGCAATACAAGTTCTTATCACTGTCTGATATTCTATTACAGTATATTGCATATAGTTTAATTTCGTCGTTTTTTAATATAGAACATTGTATAAAAGACGACAAGGTTGAATTTACGCTGGACTTGACAAATGAGCAGTTCAAACAGAAGTTAATTGAAATTTATCCCAAATTGGAAAATGCCTTTTTTGTGTTAATGAGAGCGGACAAAACCAACACATTGGAAGAACTGAATCCAGGATTGTGCTGTTTCAGATGCTACACTCCAGAAAATGTTTACAACAGTGAACGTGGACAAGGAAGGCTTTATATGAAAATTATTGCTGAGAACGAGGTAAAGTAGTACTAGACGATGTTCCTGCTTGTTTATATTGTAGCGAGCTGATAGGTAGCTTCTTGCAACACGAACTACACTTGGCATTATTATTCTCAATAGGTTTGTTTAGTTTTATTTCCGAAGCTTGTCCCTCATAAACTTTTTATCGTTTGACGCATGAAACGATCTTCACAATTACAGTTAACCCAACGAATTCGTACCAGGTCTATTATGGAGCGTAGGTAAGAGACCCTGGGTACTAGGTTGCAGTTCACCATGAGAATTAGCCCTGTTCCCAATTTGACACAATCATACACTGTGTTTTACTCAACACACCAACATTTTTTTAGATATCCCCCTGTACCCATGGAATATCTCTTACAAAAAGACTGCGTGGTATCGGTGGTGGCCAGCAATTTTTTGTACCAATCTTACCAAAACCTGCGTCAACCCTCACCACAGGTGACGTCTTTACCTCAGCTGTTACCATGCCAACTGGCCAAACCGAATCAAGCCAATCTGGCAACACATCAACACAAAGTCAATTATCTTCGTCCACCATTAATTCCACCATTACTTCGTCAACTGTAACGCCACTGGATAACAACAGTTCGGTGATGGTCACAACGCTTGATCCACCATTATCTGTTGTTTCTCCCACAACACCTGGACTTGCAAGTCCCCAAAGTCGTTTACCAACATCAAATATCTCGCAACGCGAATCAAACCAACCCGTCAACAGTGACCAGTTAACACGAAGGCCAATATCCATGTCGATTGTTCCGCAGGTTAGTCTTGCACCTACATCGCAAAATCCAGGTAGCATTCTGGTGCAGAGGCCGTTACAAACACCACTCACAGTTTCTTCCATCACATTAACACCGCTCCTACAAAATTCTGTTATTATTCCATCACAAAGCCAATTTTTATCGCCATCTGTTATTTCTATGACCGGGCCAAGTCAGCCAGCTCAAGATTCTAATGTTTTAGCCCAAAGACAGTTACCAATATCAACTGCTTTCATTACTGGAAATACGGCAATACCAGCAATTCAAAATCCTGGTAATTTTGTAAATCCGGGCCAGTTAGAATCACTTGGTTCTGGGTCAATGACACCGCAAGGGCAGTTTTCAAGATCAACTGGAGTTCATAACGTAAATTTTTTGCAATCAATTCCGGGCACACAGTCTTTTAACCAAACCGTTGCTGACAATGATCTCGATTCACAGTGGAGAGCGCTGGGTGAAGCTATGGTCCTTGCTTCACAGAATCCTGTCTTGATGCCTAATTCCACCGTACCTTCATCCTTAACTTCGTCCACTCTCCCTTCACTCCGATTAGCGCAATCTCCAGGTTTAAATACCTTGTTGGATGCAATAATGCAACATGAACAAAATGCAGAATCTCCATCCAGTGGCAGTGGTGTTATCAGTTCAAACGTGCAGGTAAAACAAAATGCATCATTTATGTAAAGAACCTACGAACAACACATTTTTATTCTGTTTTAACAACAACATTTTCTGATAACTTATACAAAACACAAAATCAGTTAACGAAAAATTATCTGCAGCATTACGGAGTTATATATAATACACCCGTGACTATACTCAAAACCTTGCAAATACTTTAAGGCCATCGCTGGACGTTTAACTGGGAGTGCATATTAAGCTTTCTGGGCGACCTGCTAAACTGCATAATCACAATACGATGAAATGTTGTTGTGAAATTTTGTAAATAGCTCTTTTCTTTACTGTACCTTATCTGTACATTTATAACCTTTTCAGGGACACGTCAACCTACCAGAACCAGACGAATGTGAGTCAACGTTACGTTAACAGATATTTTTTCGATTCTTTAGTACTACTACATGCAGCTGTCATTGTTAAGAAAAGTCAAAATATCTGAATATTATTCCTTAATCCAAATTTTATCAATAGGGATTTTATCCCTACCATGCAAACCTAACAGTAAACACAGTCTAAACGAATGAGATTTGACATAGGTATTAGACAGTTAAAATTCCATTCGTACCTCGTTCTCTAAAAACAGTGTAAACGGTGCTTCAGTTTGTGGAGTTTCTCATATCATTTTGTTCTGTTTATAGCACGAATTCAGAAGTTTCTTGAAAATGTTGAATCAACTAAGAAACTCACGATATCGTTGGCAGTTCTGGATGATGATCTCCTCTTGAAGAGGTTGAAAGAATCCACAGTTGAAATTCACACGATAGAAATTCACTCCAGGTGTGAGGTACACAAAGTTCTGAGTGTTTATTCTTTGCCCTCTTGTCTAAAGATCTTTCGTATTGCTAATAATATCTTAGATTATGAGGATATTTTTGCTCTAGTCAGATCCTTTCGTAGCGAGAATAATTTACAGGAATTAGATTTATCTCGTACCAAGTTTGAGAAGAATATTTTCCATAGTTTTATTAGCGTACTTATGAATTGTAACGATTTAACAAGATTGAATTTAACTGATAATTGCTTAACTAAACATGAAATATCCAGTCTGTTGGAGTCATTAAAATGCATGACAAGTCTTAAAAATTTACACTTATCTAAAAATAACCTAAGCGTATTCGAGATACACGGACAGTTGGATAACATTGTTTCTTTAGATTTGTCGCACAACGCACTCCAGGGAAACACAAGCATCATTGATATCTGCAAACTGCAGTCACTCGAAGAAATAAACCTCTCTCACAACCACATTAGATTTTTCCCCTTGCCCGAATTCGACACACAACTCGACAACTTACCAATTAACATGAAAACTATTTCGTTATCTTTCAATTACATGACACCCGAAGACATCAGCCGGTTTTCCTTCTTAATTAGGTCAAATCTGACAAAACTTTACTTAGATTCTAATCACATTGGCAACTCAATTTGGTCCTTGGCTGCACTAGGTCTAAGGTTTTTGAAAGTGTTAAGTTTAGCTAATACTGATGTTTGTGTTGCTGTTGATGGTTTGGCGTTCCTACTTTCATTAGTTCCAGAACTCGAAGAACTCAATTTATCGTCCAATAATCTTGTGTTGGACGACTTTCGCCAACTCCAATCAGCATTATCAAATTTAACACAGTTAAAAAAGTTGAATATCAGCAACAATCCTGAAGGAGCTTCAGATCTTTTGATAGAGGTCCTGTCTTCGTTCAAAAATCTCCAGGAGTTGAGGCTAAGTAACACCCATATGAATGGTGAAGATTTGGGAAAAATCTCAAACTCACTCGCATCCTTGAGAGATCTTAAATATCTCGATTTAAGCATGAATGCTATTGACTCAGATGGAACAAGAACACTTGCGAACTTGTTGAAGGGATTTCTCTTGTTGGAGGGGTTAGACCTGAGCCAATCGTCCATGACGGAAAGTGATTTAAATGTATTGTGGAATAGTTTTGCTTTGCTAAAAGTGTTAAAATATCTGAATTTGTCTGGCAATCAGGTTGATGCCAATGCTTTTGATAACACCCTGTTATTTCCTCCGTCGTTGGAAGAGCTTATTATCAGTAATGTCATTCATGGCGAAAAGCTCTTTGTGAAAATGTTACCACTCAAGAATCTAAAAAAACTTCACCTTATTGACATGAGATTAAGAGCCTGTGATGTCGAGGCACTAGCCGCAATGTTGTCGTCTTTTTCGATGTTGGAAGAGATATCTTTAGCTCATACAGTTGTAGACTCAAACATTGAAAAAATCTTTAGTGCTATGAAGTGTTTACCCAATATTAAAATTATTGACCTCAGTGGCGTAAAATTACCTGACGTAGATGCATTAGTTGACATGCTTTCGTCTCTTTTGTCTTTGGAAGAGCTAGTTTTAGTTGGAATGTGTATTGATAACATCGATCATGAAAAATTGATTGATGCGTTAGTTTTGTTGAAATCTTTAAGCATTCTGAATCTTCAATGGGCTAAAAAATTGGGAAAACGGTCGCCACGATGTCGGCGGCCAGGTATTTGTTTTGAAGATGTTGAAGACACAAAACAGCTGTGTTCTGGGTTGGGGAAAATCAGATATTTAAAGGAACTTAGCTTAAACCTTGGGGACCGCCACCCAGAGTGTATAAACCATTTAGCTGAAGTGTTACCGTCACTACATTTGTTGGAAAGGTTTGTGTTGGAATGTGAATATAGTGATTTATCTGGTAAACACACAGTCGAAAAATTGTTTTCCGCGTTAGGAAGATTGATGTATTTGCGAGATCTCGAATTTACTAATCGGCATTTCCGAATCCAAGAAAATGTTAGAGATATTTTGAAAGCTGTAGCTCTGATGTTATTATCACTGCAGTTATTGGAAAAACTAGTGTTTGATCTGCCGTATAACTGGTGTAGAAATAACGATGAAGATGGAGATTATACAAGCGAAATACAACTGGTCACGACCGCATTAGGAAAGTTGAAGAATTTAAGAGAACTTGGATTATCTGGTATTATGAGTGGAAAAGGCATAGCTGAGGTTTTAGCGTCACTGCCATTGTTGGAGCGATTAATGCTCAGGTTTAATTATGTTTGGAAAAGCGGGGATATGTGTAATAATAATATTGGATATGAAGAAAAAATATTTCATTCTTTAGTAAAAGTAAAATATTTAAAACAGCTTTTTATATTTGATACTCATTTTTGCACAGACTTGGTTGAGGTTTTACCGTCACTGAGGTTGTTGGAGACGCTAGGGTTAGAATTGTACGCTCGGGATAAGACATTGTCACTCTCACTGGGGGAGTTGAAATATTTAAGGAAACTTGATTTACAAAATGTTGATATAAATGAACGAACTTTATTTAATGGCTCTCGATCATTCTACTTGTTGGAAAAGCTAAAAATTTCGTTTTATGACGTAGGTGCAGTGGAACAGCGATTTCAATATTTAGGAAAATTAAGACATTTGAAACAGTTGACTCTTGATGTCGAAAAGAGTTTAGTTGATTCCTTATTGCCTATTGCGTCACTGTCGTCACTCGAGAAGATTGAACTGAATATGAACTGGATATATTTGGATAATGACAATGCAAAGCAGCTGGTTGCTTTATTACTTAAAGTAAGATTTCTAAAGAAACTTTCTTTAGGCCACGTTTCGCGTCATTCTACCCAATATGTGATAGACGCTCTAGCTGAGGCGTTACCAGCAATGAAATTTTTGGAAACGCTGTCGTTGGAATACATTAATTTTACCAAAGTCAATAAAGAGCAACAGTTAATCACTGCAATAGGATCGTTGAGTTTTTTGAAAAAACTTGATTTATCAGCTTCTTCAATTACCCAGACCGGTGAAGAAACTTTAACTGTTGTGCTGCCAAATTTATACAACTTAAGACGTTTTACGCTACCAGATTTTAGATACTTGGGGCATCATAAAAAACTTAAGGAGGCACTAGGCCGCGTAATTCCTTCGTTTATCCTCAGGTGAGACTAGACACGTGGAAAAATTTGTGGGAGCCTTTTTGATATTTTATTCCATTATGGCGCAGTCATTCAGATAGTGATAAAGGTTCTAAAACATCTATTTCAGCCACCCATTTAGCAGAAACGCCGAAATCACTCCTGGAAAATGAAACCCTGACAATAAATCACAATATTTCCAAACGCTGCAACACTTAGCAGTAATAATCAATCGTTGTTGACCTTTTCGTTGTTTCAAACACTGGTTAAGAATTCAACAGAAGTCGAGTGACAGTATTGTAGTCTGCAGCCGTTGACTGAGAAACGTTTCACACAGAACACGCACGCATTTATACATTGCATTTATATAACGGTAAAGTTTCTTGTATCCTGTAGAAAGTTTTAATTCTTTCAACTCTTCATTGAAAGAACACTTCCGAATTTGTATTGCTGGCTATTTTAAAACTTGATTGCATGAATAACAATCAGTTGTATGAAAACAGTTTCATTAGCTTGACGCAGCAATGGAAATTTGTTTCATATTTCAACGTAAATCATTACAAACCTTTCTCTTTAAAATATATTAAATATTAAGAATATTAAATTCATTAACCATGATAATTATTAAAAACAGTAATTGTAAATAATATTGTAGCTGAGTTCTGAGGTTAGAAACCTTTGAAATAAGAGCTGAAATAAGAGTCATTGCTGAGTTCTTCTCAAAATACCAAGTGGTTTATTTAACTTGTATGATAACGACATAATAATAACAATTATGCAGTTAAAATGATAACTGATAGTGGAAGCACAGGAAATACAAAATTTAAAATGCTAATTAAGACGAGTTAAAAGTTCGGATTGTTTGTATAAGGGTCATAAAATGAAATATTAGATATGAAAAACGATTGCTAACAACGACCTTGCATGCCTACGACCTTTTTCACTGTACTGGAAAATATGAAGAACCGAGCAAGGTTTCATAGTTTCGTGCTTGATATTTTTTAGTACAGCTTGTGTGGTCGATGTTAGTAGCTACGTTTTTATTATATGACATGATTTATTTCAAATATTATCAATGGCCATCGTGTTGTCGTAAGTGAAAATGAATTATTGAAGTATAATTTCAAATTCAAAATGGCTACCTAAATAACGATGCTATTGGTCAGGAGTTTCCAAAGAATATTTTAGAACTATAATATCCACCAATGAAATCATCTTTAAGATATTTTAGAATCTTTTTAGAAAGTGAGCTGTTGTAATTTATTTTCACTTACACTAAATCCGCCCTGCGTCGCTCTGAACTGTGTGAAAATGATAAAAGTAGTTTCGCATTCTTCATTTTCAATTTCCGAATTATGAAATCATTATGAAATTCGTATTCATATTGCTTCTCGTTCTTAATTTCTTTTACAATTTTACTTTTTGTGAAACAAATTGTTTGAATTTTAACGTTTTTGTGATTGTAAACCTCAAAAGGCGATAAAGAATACCAGTTAAACCCCTGCGGGCTTTGTGAAATAATTCTGTCATTTCAGCAGTTAACCAAATTATTGGTCACTCAGGTGCGCTATTTAACTCTGTCATATAATAAAGAAAGTATCAACTATTAATAACTTGCTATGGGTAATTTGATCGTCGACTTTATAGAAATTATCACCGCAATCTTAGTTAGACAAGAGGGATCTTTTACGGAAGTGAATATACGAATGTGGGATGACAGTCATAAACTAAAAATATAATGTGAATTATTATGAAAAGAATTAGTGTGTCGTGTTTTTAGGAAAACGGTGCACTTTCAAATATTCATTTCTTTTTAAAAAACGACGAAATGTCGTTGCAATGAAAACTTGCCGAATAATGTCGTCGTCCTTCATTCGGTAGAAATGTTTGATCATTCCTGATATTTGAGAGCTTATATTTCATAGAACTGCTTTTCACTGTCGCGTTTTTTGCACCGTGCGTACACGCATGTAAAGTTTAAAACTTTCCAATTTATAATTCCATGCCAGAAAAAACCCAAATCTTCAACAGAATCCAACTCAATGGATCTAAACAATGGTTGATTTCATAAGTATCATTTAAATGAATTGAAACTTTTACGTGCGTATACGTATATACGTACAAAAAACGCGAGAGTGGAAAACAGCCCTGAACTGAGTGGTGTTCTTAGGTACATTTCGTACAGTGTTGGTGTTGTTTGCCAGTAATTATGTGTTATACCATCAAGACACAATGGCGACACTATACATGCACCAATGGCGACACTAGTCTCTGGGCTAACGGCCAGGGCGTTACGCCACTATGTGTAATCAACTTTCATCGACTCTAAAACGACATTGAATCATGTGTACGAATTTAGTTGATCAAATTTTTCGTTTTAGTTTTCGATGGCGAAGGTTTGAAATTGATGCGCTTACACTTTATCTGGTTTCTTCTGTTTGTAAAAACAACTCGAAACATGCAAATATACTCGAAAAAAGTAAATTTCAGCGCTTTGTATCATTTACACCATATGTAATTGATATCATGGAAATATTTCAGGGTTACCACGTTTTTATACTAACATCATTTCCAATATATCCAAAATATTTCTAAAAAAAATGAAAATCTTTCTTTGTCAAACTTTCAAATTTACTTGTCAATTGCAACCGCTATCGGCTTCTTCCAATGTCGTTTAAAGTCGTCATTGCATGCAAAATATTCAGGGCTTTATATAGTAAGTTTTTCCAAATTTTTTTCCATGTATCTATAGCCATTATTTTATAATATTATAAGCTGAGGTTTAGATAGTCTAAAATTGTGGTGTTATAAACGTAAATTGATGTGTATTAAGTTAGACGTACCAGTCGTTGACATTGATTTCAGCAAAATCAATACATACAGGATAGTTTTGGAAATAATGCATGTAAAGTTAATATGTTAAGTTGAAAAAACTTTCACCATGGTCATATATATCAATAAATGTGCAAACGACGTGTAATTGCTTTTATATTATTAGATTTTTAGTACAAAATTAATAATGTAGACGTCATCGTAGACCAGCGGGGGGCTGGGGTGCACGATGTCTCAATTTTCGTGAGAAACTCAAAGAATAACTTGGTGAGCTAACAGCCACGCATGGTCTTTAGTTTAGCTCTGCTAATAGCTCACTTGTGCGGCGGGCTTAAAACCTGCTATAATATCGAACTAGATTTCTTGCGATGAATGCGCTGAATCCGTTTATACAACACAAAATATTAAAACAAGACTCAGTCCCTGTTGTGATAGACGCTCTAACTGAGGCGTTACCAGCAATGAGATATTTGGAAAGGTTGTCGTTGAGATGGATTGATTTTACCAAAGTCAAAGGAGAGCAACAATTAATAACTGCAATAGGATCGTTGAGTTTTTTGAAAAAACTTGATTTACGTCATACTACAATTACCCAGGCCAGTGGAGGAACTTTAACTGTTGTGCTGCCAAATTTATACAACTTAAGACGTTTTACGCTACCATATTTTGTAAACCAAAATTTTACGCAACGTGAAAAACTCAAGGAGGCACTACGCCTCGTAGTCCCTTGGGTTATCATGAGGTTAGACTAGACACGTGCAAAAATTTGTGGGAGGCTTTTTGATATTTTATTCCATGATGGCGCAGTCATTCAGATCGTGATAAAGGTTCTGAAACATCTATTTCAGGCACCCATTTAGCAGAAACGCTGAAATCACTCGTGGAAAATGAAACCTTAACAATAAATCACAATATTTCCAAACCCTGCAACACTTACCAGTAATAATCAATTGTTGTTGACTTTTTCGTTGTCTCAAACACTGGTTAAGAATTCAACAGAAGTCGAGTGACAGTATTGTAATCTGCAGCCGTTGACTGAGAAACGTTTCACGCAGAACACGCACGCATTTATACATTGCATTTATATAACGGTAAAGTGTTTTGTATCCTGTAGAAGGTTTTAATTATTTCAACTGTTCATTGAAAGAACACTTCCGAATTTGTATTGCTGGCTATTTTAAAACTTGATTGCACGAATAGCAATCAGTTGTATGAAAACAGTTTAATTAGCTTGACGCAGCAATGGAAATTTGTTTCATATTTCAACGTAAATCATTACAAACCTTTCTCTTTAAAATATATTAAATATTAAAAATATTAAATTCATTAACCATGATAATTATTAAAAACCGTAATTGCAAATAATATTGTACCTGAGTTCTGAGGTAAGAAACGTTTGAAATAAGAGCTTTTAATTTAATTTAGAGTAATTTCTGAGTTCTTCTCAAAATACCGAGTGAATTATTTAACTTGTATGATAACTTCCAATAGTGATGACATAATAATAACAATTATGCAGTTAAGATGATAACTGATAGTGGTGGCACAGGAAATACCGAGTTTAAAATGCTAATTAAGAGGAGTTAAAAGTTCGGATTGTTTGTATAATGATCATAAAATGCAATATTAGATATGAAATACGATTGCTAACAACGACCTTGCATGGCTACGACCTTTTTCACTGTACTCGAAAATATGAAGAATCGAGCAAATTCATAGTTTCGTGTTTCATATTTTTCAGTGCAGCTTGTGCGGTCGATGTTAGTAGCTACATTTTTATTATATGACATGATTTGTTTCAAATAATATTATCAATGGCCTTCGTGTTGTCATAAGTGAAAATGAATTATTGAAGCATAATTTCAAATTCAAAATGGCTACCTAAGTAACGATGCTATTGGTCAGGAGTTTCCAAAGAATATTTTAGAACTATAATATCCACCAATGAAATCATCTTTAAGATGTTTTAGAATCCTTATATATTCCTAAAAGTGAGCTGTTGTAATTTATTTTCACTTACACTAAATCCGCCCTGCGTCGCTCTGAACTGTGTGAAAATGATAAAAGTAGTTTCGCATTCTTCATTTTCAATTTCCGAATTATGAAATTCGCATTCATATTGCTTCTCGTTTTTAATTTCTTTACAATTTTACTTTTTGTGAAACAAATTGTTTGAATTTGAAGGTTTTTGTGATTGTAAGCCTCAAAAAGCGATAAAAAATACCAGTTAAACCCCTGTGGGCTTTGTGAAATAAATCTGCTATTTCAACAGAATCCAACACAATGCATTTAATCAATCGTTGATTTCATAAGTATCATTTAAATGAATTGAAACTTTCACGTGCGGATACGTATGTACGTACAAAGAAACGCGACAGTGGAAAACAGCCCTAAACTGAGTGGTGTTCTTAGGTACACTTCGTACAGTGTTGGTGCTGTTTGCCACTAATTATGTCTTACACCACCAAGACATAATGGCGACACTATGTACACCAATGGCGACACTAGTCTCTGGGCTACGGCCTGGGCGTTACGCCACTATGTAATCAACTTTCATCGACTCTAAAACGACATTGAATCATGTGTACGAATTTAGTTGATCAAATTTTTCGTTTTAATTTTCGATGGTAAAGGTTTGAAATTGATGCGCTTACACTTTATCTGGTTTCTCCTGGTTGTAAAAACAACTCGAAATATGCAAATTTTCGTTTGTAAGACGTAAATATGGTGGATGAAGTTGGGATCGAAACCTGAATCTTTAAAAAACGTTTAAAACTCGTGTTTAAAAAACCTTTTGTCAAGAGCAAAACGCGCATGTCAAATTGCTAATTTAACTGATCTAGAAATCGGTACTGATTCGAATATTTTGCATGCTGCTAAAATCTTTGTCGGCGGCAATGTTTTGGACGCACAAGCCGTTTTCACTCCACAACCCAAGCCAGCTTTGAACTGGATTTTCGTGATGTGAACGCACTTGGCGAGGGTTGCTTAAGCCCGCCGCACACGAGAGCTATCAGTTGAGCGAGCGACCTAGCTCGCGAGGCAGTTAGCTCAGCCCGAAACCCTTCCGCACAAGTGAGAAACTTGCATCATGAGGCGAATTCCTCACGAAAAACTATCCGCACACAAGAATAACTTGCCGGCTGAGCTAAGAGCTACGCATGATCTTTAGTTAAGCTCTGCTAATAGCTCACGTGTGCGGCGGGCTTAACACTTGCTATAATATCGAACTAGATTTCTTGCGATGAATGCGCTGAATTCCGTTTATACAACACAAAACATTAAAACAAGACTTTATCCCTGTTAACGAACGGTTTTTTTACCATTTGAACTTTAATACTTTTTGAAATACGTTGTGCTATCTGAATATCTAACAACATTTAGGTTCGTTTCGCTTCTAAATGCATGAATACAAACTTGAGTTTATGTTGAGAAAAATGCGGAAAAATGTATGAAATTGGACGATCTTTACATGACAGGTTTCTCAGATTGTTATGAGCGCAGAATGAACTTGACTTCAACTCTAAATTCCATGAAGAAGAGGAATTTGTAGTGAAAAATTTATACGCATTTATATTTACATTTGTTTGATGATTTGACAAACCAGGAGCATGCATACCTCGGCTGTAATTGGTTAAACTTTTGTTCGTATCTGAATAACAAAAAGCATTGAAAGAATTGTTAGCATGTTAAGCCATTGGTGCGTAATATTGAAAACGTGCATCCATGTGTGGTAATCAAATATTCAAATTCAATCAAAAACGTTTGGAACCTCTGTCGACAGATCATTTAATGAAAGGAATTCTTATCGTACAGACATGTGTTCATAATACAATCGCTTTTCACGATCTTCTTGCTTTAAATTACAACTTGGCCGTGTGTAGCTACAATACAATGATGTCCTTCCGTCGCTTTGGACTATCCCGGACTGAAAATCGCAAGGCAAGTCCTTCACAGTTAGAAATATAAATTCCAATACATGCTTAGTCGACTGATATAATTCAAATAGATTTGCAGCGACTTTGTGTTTCACATTTTCTCCACTCTTCTACAAAACAAAATCACTTCTATATACTAATACAAGCTTATTAAACGGTTGAAACCTTTGCACTTGCGATTTCTAAAGTTTTATCTATATACCATGATCCCAGTTTATGAGGAGAATTCTTAACGCATAACATAACAACAGTTACATGCAGTTGGCTAATTCTGGCTCAATGCAATCCTGCCGAATATATTTTCCAACGGCATATATTCATCGGTTTTAATAGAGTTTCAGTATTTGAGGAGACTCAGTATTGAGGTTTATATATATTCTAAAATGGACCGACTATAAATGTGCATGCAGAAATACACAAACGATCCGATAAAGTCTTAAAGGATTGCTGAAAATATTTGAGAGATTTAAACTACACTGATTAACACACACAGGAATTATTTTGTCCTGTATATTTGGTACTTTGGATTCACACATAGCAAATATGCACATGCATACACAGACAATGACACAGACATACAAAAAAAGATTTCCTCAACGATTGCGACGAGAAGGCATTTACGAAGTGTTTTACCTTTTTAATTACTCTTGTATATCATTTGATAATATCAACATATCTTTTCTTTTGGTTTTAATTGGAATGTGTTTTGAGATAAGGCAAAAACACAATACTTCAAGTGCGGCATTAATAGTATTCAATCTTAAGTTTACTCGAAACAGTCACTAGTAGCGTTTAAAATATAGTTTTTGTCAGTAGAAAATTGTGTGCCTCATATAAACGAGTAAGGGACAGAGCTGGGGTTTTAAAATCAAAATTTGTTGGTGTTTCAAATTTCGGGGGAAAAATGGTTAGTAAATTCACGTGTGTCCAGTGTTGGTTGTCTCAACACAACCAAACTCAAAACCGTGAACCTGTACGCCATAAGCGCGCCTAGAATCATGATTAGGATCACAATGTAATTGACACTTGTGCTGCTAACACTTTGCAGAGTTTCTTTATTTCTATTTCGCTCGTGCGCAGACTCTTAATACATCAAGTATTGCACAAAATGTTTATTACGCTTTGAACATCTGCAAACGATGCTTGTGGAAAAATTCTGTGGCAAATGTTGCCTTTTACCATAGACAATCCAAAAGACTTTTGTCTTTTGGATTGTCTATGCTTTCATTGACTGTCGTACATGCATGTAGTAATAGAAGTTGAAAATTGCGAAAAGCGCGCGAAGTTACAACAACAACGAGGAAGTGTTCCAAGTTTGATTTCATTCAGCGAATTAAATACCCGTGTTTGGATTGCCTGATCGAAACACGGACATCGACCAATCAGAACTCGCGTTATATACATGTTATTTCATAAACTTAGATAAGTGCTGAGTAATTAATTTTTTCAATATTTTATTATAATTGTTGAATTAAACATTTCTAGTTCTCATTGTGTTAATATACAATACACAAATGCAATAGAAGATTTGTTTGTAGATAAGCCTGGCTTGTTGATTTTGTAAATAACTACCCTACAGAACCCCATGAACATCGAATTTAGAGTATAGCGATGCTTGGGTCTGAGATATACTCTACATAAAAAAACAGGTCTCAAAGTGTGGGCACTTTTTGCCCAGTATGACAAATGATATGTTATTGAGACATCAAGCAGAGCAGTAAAACCATTTTGTTCACTATTTGCATGAACACGTCAATATAAAGATTAGTTTCTCTACAGGTTGTCCATAAAATATTGAGTTTTGAAAGCCTAAATCTGGTTTGATAAAGTTGGTTGATTATCCTTGTAGTAGTGCTTTCAATATGTGTTTCCAGATTTATACATATTGAAGAAACCGATCAAATTTAGTTACACATTTAATGAGGACGAATTGTGGGAAAGTTTGCTTCATTAGTTTGTTTATTCGTGGAATGCATGATTGAGCAGTGCAAGACCACGCAAATAGAATCATTTCGATATAGCAGGCTGTCGTAATAGGATTCAATCCAGTGAACGTCGGACGACTCCATTCTTTTCGATATTAAATCTTTTTTCACGATCTGGAATCCAGCAGTATGACCATAAGAAGTCATGAATAATGAAAGCTATGCATTTATTTCCTTGGTAAGTATATTACGATGACAAATATTTACCTTCAGCATCAAAACCAGTTAAGCTCATAATCAATTTGGTATACTCTCCATGTTGGCATTTATTTGGTTTCTGGATTATTTTGAATTACATGGGGATGAAAAAACTTTTGATTACATGATATATGCGTTTTGAGGCATGGTTCTTGCGAGATGTGATATTCTTTAGCAGTGTATAAATTCCCAAATTACCACCCACGCTATGATATTGCGCAGTCAAAATTCATGCCTCATCCATGTTATTCTTTTATTTTACGATTATATCAGCTGTCTGTTAATTCTCAGTAATAAAAAGACACTATCAAGGTCTGCATGTCGTCTGCTCCACGCATACAGTTTATTGGATTCATATTATTTTTATCTTCCCGTCTTCCAGTTGAACGCGATGTCGAAACTGAAAGAGGAATTTCTGTCATTTGGGCAATGATCTATGGTAGGCCACTTTTAACTCTGTTATTTTAATCTATTTTTATAAATTTAAAAATATATCAGGTGGAGAGATGAAGATAACATTGATATATATTTACTGTAAAAATGTTGATTAATCACAATCGGATATTTTGGAATTGACTCTAATTTAAATAGTAATTCAAATCACTAACGGTGTGAACTTGCAGTCTAACGCCTGTATTCTAAAAGCTCACTCACACTCAAACTCATTGAGTGGGAGATCTTAATCTTCTCATTACGTTTCAATGGCGGTATTTCAAGCTGAATAGGAGCTTGATTTTCAGTGATTTACCTTATATCTTTCCATCTATTCAGAGAAAACTTTCTCATTGATCAGCATTAACAAAATTTATATGTCACACTCAATGAGTGTGAGTGTGAGTGAGCTTTTTGAATACAGGCGTAAGTCAAGTATTCTCATCCACCAAACGCATTAAGGCGGCAGCAGATAATCAGTGGTTAAAATGCGTTGCGTTCAGGTCATGTGTGCGTCATGAAACGTCTGATCTGACTTGTCACTTGTCAGTGACTTGATATAATTATATGCTATATCATACGTCATATTAAATACAGCAGCTTCGTATACCCCGGTGTTTCATTGGAAAACATATAAAATTGCTTTTTTCTACCCGCTAGACCACGCCGCCCTCACCTTTTCTTAGCTGATCTCTATATTGTAGCTGAATGCAACATTATATGTTTATATCCTGTGCTTATATTCAAACTACAGAGTTAATTTAACTCGTTGCCAAGAGTAAATTTTAGTATTCATTATAAGCTACCTCGAACAAATCGTACATACGTTTTGATAGCTCTCCATTTTTAATTCAATGCATGAACACTAGCGAAATATTTTTTTATTAAAAATGAAGCAAAAGAATATGCAAGATTACATTTTTTTTTATTTAGCAACCGTTAAAGAATACAAATTCTGTTTTCACGTGCAAAGTTCATCGAAACAAATATATGGCGAACAATAATTATCGTGAACCAAACACAAAAAAGAGAGGACGACCTGCAAACAAACTTTCTGTCAGGTTATTTCTGCTTGATCCAGACACCGTGATCACTAAAGTGACCAAAGACACTTGTTCAAAGACTGCGATAGAAGCCTTGATGCAAAGAGGATATGGACCACCTCGAAGAGGTTTTTGAAATTTTTAATAATATATATTACAAAACTTATACTCTTAACATTATCTCGTTAAACCAAAGATATACGAATGAAAACAAGATTACTTATAATGACTTCTTAATCCATTAATTTTAATATATAGAACATTGTGTAAAAGATGACAAGGTGGAATTTACGCTGGACTTGACAAATGAACAGTTCAAACAGAAATTGATTGAAATTTATCCCAAATTGGAAAATGCCTTTTTTGTGTTAATGAAAGCGGACAAAACCAACACATTGGAAGAACTGAATCCAGGATTGTGCTGTTTCAGATGCTACACTCCAGAAAATGTTTACAACAGTGAACGTGGACAAGGAAGGCTTTATATGAAAATTATTGCTGAGAACGAGGTAGTACTGCTGATAATACGGTAGTTAAGTTTAAGTTTGAAAATACGAAGGATATCTGTTGCTGAGATTTCTCAGTGTTGTATATTTCGATTGATGTGGAACATATCATTCACTTTAAACTGCGCTGGTGACCATGCTAGAAACATAAAAACCAACTTTAAACGCTAGATGAGAGGTTGATAGTTGATATCTGGTTTCGGCCTTGTATCCATACCATCAAATTTTTTTTTCATGTTCTAGATATCTGCTTGTACGCATGGAATATCTCGCACAAAAAGACTGCGTGGTATGGTTGGTGGTGGCCAGCAATTTTATGTACCAATCTTACCAAAACCTGCTTCAACCCTCACCACAGGTGACGTCGCCACCTCAGTTGTTACCATGCCAACTGGTCAAACCGAATTATGCAAATCTGGCAGCACATCGACACAAAGTCAATTCTCTTCGTCCACCATTACTTCCACCATTACTTCGTCAACTGTAACACCACTGGATAACAATAGTTCGGTGAACGTCACAACGCGTGATCCACCATTATCTGTTGTTTCTCCCACAACACCTGGACTTGCAACTTCCCAAAGTCGTTTACCAACATCAAATATCTCGCAGCCCGAATCAAACCAACCCCTCAACAGTGACCAGTTAACACGAAGGCCAATATCCATGTCGATTGTTCTGCAGGTTGGTCTTGCACCTACACTGCAAAATCCAGGTAGCATTCTGGTGCAGAGGCCGTTACAAACACCACTTACAGTTTCTTCCGTTACATTAACACCGTTCCTACAAAATTCTGTTAATATTCCATCACAAAGCCAATTTTTATCGCCATCTGTTATTTCTATGACGGGGCCAAGTCAGCCAGCTCAAGTTTCAAATAATGTTGTTGCCCAAAGGCAGTTAGCAATATCAACTGCTTTCATTCCTGGAAATACGGCAATACCAGCAATTCAAAATCCTCGTAATTTTGTAAATCTGGGCCATTTAGAATCATTTGGTTCTGGGTCAATGACACCGCAAGGGCAGTTTTTAAGATCAACGGGAGTTCATAATTTAAATTTTTTGCAAGCTATGCCAGGTACACAGTCTTTTAACCAAACCGTTGCTGACAATGATCTCGATTCACAGTGGAGAGCGCTGGGTGAAGCTATGGTCCTGGCTTCACAGAATCCTGTCTTGTTGCCTAATTCAACCATGCCTTCATACTTAACTTCGTCCACTCTCCCTCCACTCCGATCAGCGCAATCTCCTTTAAATACCTTGTTGGATGCATTAATGCAACATGAACAAAATGCAGAATCTCCATCCAGTGGCAGTGGTGTGATCAGTTCAAACGTGCAGGTAAAACATAAAGCTGCAGCATTTATGTAAAGAACCTACGAACACCACATTTTTAGAGCAACATTTTTTACAACTTATATAAAACCAAAAATTAATTAAGGGAAAGATATATAATACACCTGAAATATACTACCAGCCTTGCAAATACTTAAGAGCTGTCGCTGAAAGCTTAACTGGGAGTGCATTGTTGTGAAATTTTGTAAATATCTCTGTTATGTGCATGTACCTTATCTGTACATTTATAATCTTTTCAGGAGCACGTCAATCTACCAGAACCAAACGAATGTGAGTCAACCTTGCTTTAACAGATTTGTTTTTATTCTTTAGTACTGCACTGAATTTAAAGTGTAAGTCAAGTCCGTAAAAAACGGTTTGTTTACATTTTGAACTTCGCTATTTTTAAAAATACGATGTGCTGTCTGAATATCTAACACTATTTAGGTTCCTCACGCTTCTAAATTTATATGAACTAGAGTTTATGTTAAGAAAAATTCAGACACATGCGAAATTTAGGCAATTTTTATATCAGAGGTCCCTCACTTGTTATGAGCAGAACCACTGAGCTATATAATAATTCCTGGAGGACCGGCTCCTGATCAGAAAGTGAAGCAACAAACATGGCGGATTTTGAGCTTTGTGACATCACCTGGTCCCCTTTGCCCATGGTAATTACCACTGACATACCGCGATACAAAGTGAAAAACTATGTGTATCCCTCCTGGTCTTTACGAAATATTTTTGATTTTCGGTATAGATTTTTTTCGTATTTCCTCTAAAAAAGATTAAATTGTTTATCTTTTTCCCTGTTCAACCAAGTAAACGGGGAGGCGGCTTCTTGCTCTACATATGACGTTGTGAATGGCTTAATTCACTTATCGGGAAAGCTATTTCTGCCTCAGGTGAGCCAGTTTTCAAATTTTTTTTTTTTTTAACTTTTTTGCCTTCGGACTACTATAGTATAAACAACTGCAAAAGCGTCAACGATAAAAAGTTATATGCTTTTATTAGCCTTTTTGACCTTTGGTACGTGACTTAATTACGATAGGATTCATAGGAAAACTTTTTTGTGTCAGGCGGAATTTATCAATAGTTAATATTTTTAATTTTGAGGTGCTGACTGCTGATACAAAATATTTCACTCTAAGATTCAACCTCTGGCAGACTTGTAGTGGATGTTAAAGGTCTAATATGTTATCTTGTTTGCCTTGTCAAAAGTCAATTTATCATGGTTTTAATGGACTTTTTGCACCTTGTTTATAATCAATCTACATTTAATTTGCTCTTAATGTTGATCAGTATTATTGTTATTCTCTCTGGGTTTCACAGTACTGTATATATTGAGTACAGTTAATCTTAAAAAGATCTCCATTTTTCAGGATGAAGATGCTATAGAATTTAACAAGAGATGGCTTGTTATGCAAATTAGTGGAACATTGTACTGATAATTTTACTATATAGACTTGTTGGCTGTTGTTGGCTGACATTTTTTTACAATGGTTTTTCAGATTAAAAATAATAAATAAATGCATAAAAACATGCATTAATTGAGCAATGTGTCTTCAATCTGCAACAACTTTTATAGATTCCTGGACAATGCATTTCCCCCACACACCATTAAAGGGCTAAAATTATTGGGCTAATCAGGGTTTTTGGATAATAGACTGACTAATGGAGGGATGAACAAGCACAGTTGCATTTTTGTGAATTCATTAGGCTATTATATTTGTACTACTCCTGCTATTAGGTATGATTTCATATCAAATACAAACCATCAATGACTTTTCTTAGGTCACACAGGGACACCTTATAAACTAATGTGCATTACAAAAAGCATATACATTGTCTGTAGCTCATTGAGGCACAAGGTGTAACCTGAATAAATATATGCCATGTAAATATCACTTCTGGTTATAACTATTGTATCCCCCACTCAGTACAATTGCTAATCTGCTGCCCAATATCTTGCATGAGGTTTGGCCTTGTTTCTTTGGATTTAATGCACAGACATGGACACAGGGCAACATAACTGGATACTTTCTATAATATTTTAGTTTAGGGTTTAAAAAAAGTCGGATTGGTATCCATAAAAGACACTAAAAAATTATGACAATGCCAAAAAAACTCAAGCATTTCTAAAATTTTACACAGTAATGTATATTGAAATTGAAAACAAAGAAAAGAGAAAAAACCTGTTAGCTTCATATCATTGTAAAATTTTCGACTTTCGTCCACGTATTAAATATTTTTTTATGTTCGCCCCATATTTGTTTGTTTCGGCATTCGCAAAAACAGTACCTATGACTTGTACACAACCGAAATAAACGCTTTATTACGGGTTAGGTAAAAAATATATCGAAAAAAACAGAACAACAAGGTTTCACGGCAGTCAGAAGAAACAAAATATTCATAAAAACCAGTGGGGAATCTACTGTAGCGGGCTCAGAATTGAGCCTGGTCAGTGGTAATTACCATGGGCAAAGGGGACCAGGTGACGTCAGGTCCTCCAGGAATTATTATATAGCTCAGTGAGCAGAACCTATGCGCAGAACGGACTTGACTTCCACTTTAATAGGGATAAAATTTGGACCATCTAGGTATTTATTATCCCAAATTTTATCAATAGGGTTTTATCACTACCATGCAAACCTAAACGTAAATACAGTCTAAACGAATGAGATTTGACATACGTTCTCCGTACCGACCTAAAAATAGTGTGAACAGTGCTTCAGTTTCTGTGGAGTTTCTCTCATCATTTTGTTCTGTTTATAGTACGAATTCAGAAGTTTTTTGAAAATGTTGAATCAACTAAGAAACTCACGATATCGTCGACAGTTCTGGATGATGATCTTCTCTTGAAGAGGTTGAAACAATCCACAGTTGAAATTCACACGATAGAAATTCACTCCAGGTGTGAGGTACACAAAGTTCTGAGTGTTTATTCTTTGCCCTCTTGTCTAAAGATCCTTCGTATTATTAATAATATCCCTAAATTACGATGATATTTTTGCTTTAATTAGATGCTTCAGTAGCGAGAATAATTTACAGGAATTAGATTTATCTCGTACCAAGTTTGAGAAGAATAATTTCCATAGTTTCATTACCGTACTTGTGAATTGTAGCAATTTAACAAGATTGATTTTAAGTGATAATTGCTTAACTAAAGAAGAAACTTTCGGTCTGTTGGCATCATTAAAATGGACGACAAGTCTTAAAAATTTAAACTTATCTAAAAATAACCTAACCGTATTCGAGATACACGGACAGTTGGATAACATTGTTTCATTAGATTTATCGCATAGCGCACTCCAGGGAAACACAAGCATCATTGAGATCTGTAAACTGCAATCACTCGAAGAAATAAACCTCTCTCACAACCACATTAGATTTTCCCCGTTGCCAAATTTCCACACACAACTCAACAAGCTGCCAATTAACATGAAAAACATTTCACTATCTTTCAATTACATGACACCCGAAGACATCAGCCAATTTTGCTTCTTAATCAAGTCAAATTTGACAAAACTTTACTTAGATTCTAATCACATATGCAGCTCAATTTGGTCGTTTTGTTCATTAAGTGTAAGAATTATGCATTTGAAAGTGTTAAGTTTGGCTAATACTGATCTTTGTGTTGCTGTTGATGGTTTGGCGTTCCTACTTTCTTTGGTGCAAGAACTGGAAGAACTCAATTTATCGTCCAACAATCTTGTGTTGTATGACTTTCGCCAACTCCAATCACCATTGTCAAACTTAACGCAGTTAAAAAAGTTGAATTTAAGCAACAATCCTGAAGGAGCTTCAGATCTTTTGCAAGAGATCCTGACTTCGTTTAAATATCTCGAGGAGTTGAGGCTAAGTAACACACATATGAATGGTGAAGATTTGGAAAAAATCTCAAACTCACTCGCATCCTTGAGAGATCTTAAGTATCTTGATTTAAGCATGAATGCTATTGATTCATATGGGGCAAGAACACTTGCGAACTTGTTGAAGAGATTTCCCTTGTTGGAGAGGTTAGACCTTGGTCAGTCATTTATGACGGGAAGTGATATAAGGCTGTTGTGGAATAGTTTTGCTTCGCTAAAAGTGTTGAAATATCTGAATTTGTCTGGCAATCAGGCCAATGCCAATGCTTTTGATAACTCCCTGTTATTTCCTCCGTCGTTGGAAGAGCTTATTATCAGTAATATCATTCATAGCGAAAAGCTCTTTGTTAAAATGTCATCGCTTAAGAATCTAAGAAAACTTCACCTTATTGACATGAGATTAAGAGCCTGTGATGTGGAGGCACTAGCCGCAATGTTGCCGTCTTTTTCGTTGTTGGAAGAGATATCTTTAGCTCACACAGTTGCAGACTCGAACATCGAAAAAATCTTTAGTGCTATAAAGTGTTTACCCAATATTAAAATTATTGACCTCAGTGGCGTAAAATTACGTGATTTAGATGCATTAGTTGACATGCTTTTGTCTCTTTTGTCTTTGGAAGAGCTAGTTTTAGCGGGAATATGTATTCACAACGTCGACCATAAAAAATTGATTGATGCGTTAGTTTTGTTGAAATCTTTAAGAATTCTCAATCTTCATTGGGCCAAAAAATTCGGAAAACGGCGGTGTACTTCATGTCGACCAGGTATTTGCTTTGACGGTGTTGAAAATACAAAACAACTGTGTTCTGGGTTGGGGAAAATCAGATATTTAAAGGAACTTAGCTTAATTAACCTTGGGGACCCAGAGTGTATAATCCATTTAGCTGAAGTGTTACCATCACTACATTTGTTGGAAAGGTTTGTGTTGGAATATGCTTATAGTAGTTTATCTGATAAACACACAGTCGAAAAATTGTTTCCCGCGTTAGGAAGATTGATGTATTTGCGAGATCTCGAACTTAGTCTGTGCTTCAAATTCGACGAAAATGTCGGAAATATTTTGAAAGCTGTAGCTCAGATGTTATCATCACTGCAGTTATTGGAAATACTAGTGTTCGATCTGATGTATGGCGCGTATGAAGATAGCTATGAAGATGGAGATTATACAAGCGAAATACAACTGGTCACGACCGCATTAGGAAAGTTGAAGAATTTAACAGAACTTAGATTATCTGGTGTTTTGAGTGGAGAAGCCATAGTTGAGGTTTTAGCGTCACTGCCATTGTTGGAGCGATTAATGCTCAGGTTTACGTATGATTGGAAACCTCCATGGTGTATTGATAATAATATTGGATATGAAGAAAAAATATTTCATTCTTTAGTAAAAGTAAGATATTTAAAACAGCTTTTTATATTTGATACTCATGTTAGCCTAGACTTAGTTGAGGTCTTGCCATCACTGAGGTTGTTGGAGACGCTAGGGTTAAAATCGTACGATCTGTTTGAAAAATTGTCACTCTCACTGGGGGAATTGAAATATTTAAGGAAACTTCATTTAGTTGGTTTTTATATAAATCAGCAAACTTTATTTAATGGCTCGCGATCATTCTACTTGTTGGAAAAGCTAAAAATTCCGCGTTATGAATTAAGTGTAGTGGAACAGCGATTTCAATATTTAGGAAAATTAAGACATTTAAAACAGTTGACTCTTTATGTCAAAGAAATTTTAGTTGATTCCTTATTTCCTATTGCGTCACTGTCGTCACTCGAGAAGATTAAGTTGATCTGGATATATTTGGATAATGACAATGCAAAGCAGCTGTTTGCTTTATTACTTAAAGTAAGATCTCTAAAGAAACTTTCTTTACACTACGTCTCGCGTGAATCTACCCAAGTTGTAATAGACGCTTTAACTGAGGCGTTACCAGCAATTAAATTTTTGGAAAAGCTGTCGTTGAAACGCATTAATTTTACCGAAGTCAATGAGGAGCAACAGTTAATCACTGCAATAGGATCGTTGAGTTTTTTGAAAAAACTTGATTTACGTCATACTACAATTACCCAGGCTAGTGCAGAAACTTTAACTGTTTTGCTGCCAAATTTATACAACTTAAGACGTTTTACGCTACCACGTTTTAATTACCAAGATTTTAGGGAAACTAAAAAACTCAAGGAGGCACTACGCCGCGTTGTTCCTTGGGTTATCATCAGGTGGGACTAGACACGTGCAAAAATTTGTGGGAGGCTTTTCAATATTTTGTTCCATGATGGCGCATGCATTCAGAGAATGATAAAGGTTCTGAAACATCTATTTCGACCACCATTTAGTAGAAACGCTCAAATCACTCGTAAAAATGAAACCCTGAAAATAAATCACAATATTTCCAAACACTGCGACACTTACCAGTAATAATCAATTGTTGTTTCTAAAACACTGGTTAAGAATTGAACAGGAGTCGAGTGACAGTATTGTAATCTGCAGCCGTTGACTGAGAAACGTTTCACGCAGAACACGCACGCATTTATACATTGCATTTATATAACGGTAAAGTGTTTTGTATCCTGTAGAAAGTTTTAATTATTTCAACTGTTCATTGAAAGAACACTTCCGAATTTGTATTGCTGGCTATTTTAAAATTTGATTGCATGAATAGCAATTAGTTGTATGAAAACAGTTTAATTAGCTTGACGCAGCAATGAAAATTTGTTTCATATTTCAACAAAAATCATTAGAAACCATTCTCTTTAAAATATATTAAATATTAAAAATATCAATTCATTAACCATGATAATTATTAAAAACAGCAATTGCAAATAAAATTGTATCTGAGTTCTGAGGTTAGAAACCTTTGAAATAAGAGCTTTTAATGTCATTTAGAGTCACTGCTGGGTTTTTTCAAAATACTGAGTGAGTAATTTATTTAACTTGTATGATAATTTCCTATGGTAATGACATGGTAATAATAATTATATAGTTAAGATGATAACTGATAGTCGTAGGAAAGGAAATACAGAAATTAAAATGCTAATTAAGACGAGTTAAAAGTTCGGATTGTTTGTATAATGGTCATAAAATGCCATATTAGATATGAAATACGATTGCTATCAACGACCTTGCATGGCTACGACCTTTTTCACTGTACTGGAAAATATGAAGAACCGAGCAAGGTTTCATAGTCTCGTGTTTGATATTTTTCAGTACAGCTTTGTGCGGTCGATATTATTATATGACATGATTTGTTTCAACGAATATTATCAATGGCCATCCTGTCGTCGTAAGCCTTCACCGGAACCTTATTTAGACAAGAGGGATCTTTTACTGAAGTGAATATACGAATGTGGGACGACAGTCGTAAACTAAAAATATATAATGTGAATTATTGTGAAAAGAATTAGTGTGTCGTGTTTTTCGGAAAACGGTGCACTTTCAAATATTCATTTCTTTGTTAAAAAACGACGAAATGTCGCTGGAATGAAAACTTGCCGAATAATGACGTCGTCCTTCGTTCGGTAGAAATGTTTGATCATTCCTGATATTTGAGAGCTTGTACAGGGCCGTAGCTAGACCGCTTAATTGGGGGGGGGTGTATATTCATATATTCATGTTTATATACCATAGGAACAATAGCATACAAAAGAAATCATTCGGACATAATACGAATGTATGAATATGCACCCCCCCCCGCCAATTAAGCTTCCAGCTACGGCCCTGAGCTTATATTTCATAGAACTGCTTTCCACCGTCGCGTTTTTTGCACGTGCGTACACGAATGTAAAGTTTAAAACTTTCCAATTTGTTGTATAAATAATTCTATACCAGAAAAAAACCCAAATCATCACAGAATCCAACACAATGCATCTAATCAATCGTTGATTTCATAAGTATCATATAAATGAATTGAAACTTTTACGTCGGTATACGTATACGTACAAAAAAACGCGACAGTGGAAAACAGCCCTAAACTGAGTGGTGTTCTTAGGTACATTTCGTACAGTGTTGGTGCTGCTTGTCAGTAATTATGTCTTACATCATCAAGACATTATTCCCATAAGATACTTAAAATATTTCCAAAAAAATGTGATTTAAAAAAAATGCAAATCTTTCTTTGTCAATTGCAGCCGCTATCGACTTCTTTCAAATGTCGTTTAAAGTCGTCATTGCATGCAAAATATTCAGGGTTTTATATAGTAAGTTTTTCCAAATTTTTACATCTATCTATAGCCATTATTTTATAATATTATGAGCTAACGTTTGGATAATTTTGTTGTGTTATAAACGTAAATTGATGTGTATTAAGTTAGGCGTACCAGTCGTTGATATTGATTTCAGCAAAATCAATACATAGAGCATAGTTTTGGAAATAATGCATGCAGTTAATATGTTAAGTTGAAAAGACTTTTACCATGGTCATATATATCAATAGATGTGCAAAAGACGTGTAATTGCTCTTTCCTGACCATCATTTCCTATATGTAACGTATTTTATATTATTAGATTTTTAGTACAAAATTAATTGTGTAGACGTCATCGTAGACGAGCGGGGGGCTGGGGTGCACGATGTCTCAATTTTCTTTTGCGAGACTTAAATATGGTGTATGAAGTTAGGATCGAAACCTTGAACATCAATTTGCAAGAGCTCCTTTGTCCTGAATCTTTAAAAAACGTTTAAAACTCGTGTTTAAAAATCTTTTTTAATGAGCAAAATGCGCATGTCAAATTGCTAATTTAATAGATCTAGAATTCGGTACTGAATCGAACGCGTTGCATGCTTAAGATCTTTGTCGGCGACAATGTTTTGGACACACAAGCCGTTTTCACTCCACAAC